GGGGGGGGGGGTTGAAAGGGTTTGGGGAGGGGGTTGGGGAGGGGGGGAGGAGGGATTGGAGGGGTCATGTGAGTTGGTGTGCGTTGGTGCGTTCATGTGTTTTTGAGTCGAATTTGAGGGTTGTGTGTATGCAAACAAAGGTAAAAAAACAAAATCAAATCAGCGCCCATCCACCCCTCCATCCCCCCTCCCAATCCCAACCTCCAATCACCTACGACTCCCGGATAAACACAAAGAAACATAAAAAGAAACGCACAAGTCCTCGTCTGTGAATCGTGTCTGACAATACTCCACGCGAGTCTTAATATCGAGGGTTCTGGTCTTCTTGGGGTTGCTTGTGTTGTAGTAGTCGGAGGTGTAGTTTGTGGTGTTACGGGAGGTGCGGTAGGGACGACAGGGGGGACTATTATTTCCGTTTCCACCGCAGATGAAGGTTCGACTTCAAGTGCAAGTGATGAATCCGTAGAGTTCATATGTGGCACAGGTGTCGAACCAGGTGCAGTTACAGACGCAGGTGCCAGACCCGGAGCAGGTGCAAGTGCGGGTGTTGTCGTCGGCGCAGGTGCAGCCGCCGAACCAGGTACAGGTACTGGTGCGGGAGGGGCTGGTCGTGCAACGGCGTCCTCCGGCGCTTGCACGGAGTATATGAGCATTCCGAATTGCTATTTATGGGTAGCCCAAACGAAATCGAATATACCCATACCCGTCAGTGTAGATAATGGAGAAATGGCAATGGCGATATTGTGCGATGGGAGATGGATGAGAAGGAGATGGTGTTGAGGAACGCGAGTACAGGAATGAACGAGAAATCTTAGAAGAGAAATGATTGTGTAGAAGGAAGGAGAGAGGGTGACGTACCACTTCATTAGCGAACAATATACACGCCAAAAACGCAGGCGCGACGAGCGACAGGGAAGGCCTGCCCTCTGCGAGTATCGCGAATGTTATATGCTATCCAGAATCAAATCAAAATCAAAATCAACGTCAAGGTCAAGGTCAGTATTCGCATTCGCGGTCAAGGTCAAGGTCAAATTCAGATCAAGGTCGGACCATAAGTCAGTCAGCCAGCCAGCCAGTCAGTAAACAGAACAATTTCAGGCGCAGTGGCAGGGAGGAAGGCGGTACTACTAGTGGACGATGGGAGAAGGAAAGAGAACTCGAAACTCACGCTCGCAAACGAAATCGAATCCGCCAGAGCCTGCGCAAAGAACGACCATCTCGATATCCTCGCGAGGGCCGCGGGCGTGCGCGAGACCGCCATTTGTCTTGAGAGGAGCAGGAGGAGGGCGAGGTAGATGCATGCTGCGAAGCCGGCGTCTAGCATTCCATCACCCACCGCACCGTTCACCGTGTCCGTCAGTAATGCATCCACGAGAGTGTGTGTATACGCGAAGGGGAAGATGCGAAGGAAGAGGCGTGGATAAGACTGAAGAAGGGATAAAACTCACAAGTCGTTATCCTCCCAAAAAACTGCACAGTCCTCAACCCCTCCGTCCCCTTCTCTCCCAACCTAATCACAACCCCACACCTCCGACTAATCAAAACCGCCCTCACCTGCATCTCCGGCCTCCTCCGCACTCCCGCCCCCGTCGGCCTCAACGTCTCTTCTTCGAGCTCTTGCATCTCTTGGAAGGTGAGGGATGTGGGCGAGAGTTGGGCGTAGACTGAGAAGAGGCAGGATGGTTCGGCGCCTGAGTCGGATGAGGAGGAGGAGGAGGAAGAGTCGATTGTGCCGGAGGAGATGAGGGTTCGGAGTTTGGTTATGCGCGCGGAGAGTTCGGGCAGGATGAGTTGGGCTGTGGAGTTTTGGTGTGTGGCGGGGACGAGCGAGGGCAGTTCGCGGATGTCGATGCCTGAGCTGTTCATAATCCATGTGCATAAGTGTGGTAGAGGTGGAGAGAGCTCAGAGAAGCATACCCTGCAGGTTCTGCAAACCCGTAAATACTCCCATTCGCGATGAAATGCACGCCTTCAAACTCAAGCCGGAGCTGGTCCTCCTTATTCGGATCCGTAAATTCTATCCTGCCCTAAGCCAGCCACGACAATACATAATTAACACGACATACGCAAATTCCTTCGTGAAATCAGCCAACTCACATGCAACAGCGCCACATCCGTCCTATTCCCCCCCTCGAGCTCCACCCTCGCGTCCGTCACACTCAACGCCACCTTCCCCCCCTCGACCGTCCAATTCCATTCCCCCAGACTCTCTTGTATGAGCGTCTCGTTGCTCGATGCCATTAGGTCCCTCGCGAACGGGTACCACGCCTCGCCGTACGATGAACCAGATGCCTCGTCGTACGATGAACCAGATGCCTCGCCGTACGCTGAACCAGAGCCGGACGAGAGCGCGGAGGGACTGATGTTGAGGGGCGTGGAGGTGCCCCGGATGAACCCTGTGATGTTGGGGAAGTAAGATGCGATGAGCGGATCGAGGACGGGTCCGGGCCATGGGTTGAGGAACGTCTCGACGAGTCCGTCTTCGGCTGCTGGTTTCACGGGCTATCCTTCCATCCAAACCACCCCCATTTCAAGTGTTAAGTGTGAGGATGTCGATGCGGTGAGTGTGTGTATATGTGGAGGGCGCACCATAGTAAAGTTCAACCCCCCCGGATCCGTCCCATTCACCCAAGCCGTATAATTCCCCATCTGCCACTCAAACGACTGTAAAGCATCGATGTATTGGTTTCGCGTGGAGAGATCCTCGGTGCTGTTGTTCGTCATCATGAAGAGCACGAAGGAGAAGAAGAGGAAGGAGGAGACGGAGCCGCGGGGGCGTTGCGGGGGCAGGCCTGGTGTTGTTGTCGTTGTCGTTGTCGGTGGAGGGGTTTGGGTGGTGTCTTCATTGCTGTTTGGGGGGTTGGGTTGAGGCTGAGGGAGTGAGGGCGCTGTTGGGATGTTCATGAACGTCGGTGGTGGTCGTCGAGAGACGAGTTGCGACGCCACACGAGGCTTGATGATGATATGATGTGGCACTTCGGTGTGGCGCCAAGAATCCGAGCGCGAGAGAAATTCAAATTATTATAGTGCCCCTTTCCTCTCCCTCCCCATCGACATCGGTCATGGCCCCTCACACAAACGCGTCAAGTTCCACCACTACACCACGCCCCAACACTCCATCAAACACGAAATCAACCACAAACAGCACACAAAACGCGAACGCAGCTTCCCAAGCAGTAGGCAGCAAACGATGGACCCACTTCCACGCGGCTCTCCAGCTCGCCATACAACGAGCAGCACACAAATGGACGTGAGTCTCCTTTCCTGCATTTCCTGCACTAGTACTGTGATCACTCGGCGGCGGGTCTGATGCTGGTTCGGAACGAACAGGTACGAGGACTTCTCGGAGTGTTTCGCGATGTATTGTGAGGAGCAGGAGCCGGGCGCGACGGGGATTTTTAATACGGTGTCTAATCATTTCGAGAGTTCTGTCACCGTGCGCTTCTTCTCCTTCTCCGCTCCATCCTCGTCTCATTCTCAGTCTCGGTCTCATTCTAATCCTTCCTTCCTCATTTCGCATGAACAACCCCCCCCTCCCCCCCCTCGTATTGTATTGTAGCAACTCTGCGACGAGATCTTCGCCACCTACGCCGTCCAACACAACATCGATATCCTACACAAAGTAGTAACCGACGGCCGTGCGCGCAAACAAGCTCTCACCGCCGGACGACCCGTAGAAGACCGAAAAGATCTATGGAGGGAGGGGTTGCAGCCGAGGAATGTGGTTAGGGCGAGGACGGTGCCGGTGTTGGAGAAGGAGGGGGAGAGGTTGAGGAGGGAGTTGGCGAGGATGGAGGCGGAGAATATGAAATTGGAGAAACAGTTGAGGGCGACGGTGAGGGAGAGGGAGGAGGCGGATCGGGTGTGCGAGGAGATCTTTGCGTTTTTGGAGGATGTGAGTTTCTTTTTACCCTGCCCACTTTTGCGTTTGTGACTGATTTGACATTGTACTCTGACTGATTTACTACGTTGGACGCATAAAGATCGAGAAAGAGTGGAAGAAGCTGCCTCTGGACGATATACAGACGTGGACGTTAGAGACGGCGGAGGCGCAGAAGCTGTGATTCTCCCGTTTTCTTCTTTTTTCTGTCCTGTTTTTTTTGGTTGTTTCACGGTCTATACCTCTGCTTGTTTCACGATCTATACCTCTGCTTGTTCATAACTTATTACTCTGTATTTTTTTTCAACCTGTACTTCATCATAGAAAGGGGGAAAGGGGCGTGACTGCGACTGTGACTGGACGCGTTTGTGACAGGTGACGCGTTATTTCAGGCGCATGGCATATGCCTAGGGAGGTCCGATCCAAAATCGCCGGATTTTGCCCTTTTTGTCCGGACCGATTTGGGAGCGGAATGTACGCACTCGGATCGGGTGCCCTGTTTTGGAGGACATTTCGTACGCATTTCGTATCGGACCTTGCCCAGCATAGAGCTCGAAAATATGTGTTTTATTTGTCATTATGTGCGCACCTCGTCGGCGAGTGTTTGGAGCGGATCTTTCACGAGTCATTTTTATCTCTTTTGTGCGCACTGTGGGCTATGGTAGGATCGGACCTCGCTGCGAGCTCACCACTTTTGTCTCGTTTGGGATCGGACGTGGGGTACTTGGGAGACCGAAAATGTACGCACCATGATCAAACATGGAACCACTTTCTGACCCAAAATTGTCCGCACCAGGATTGGACCTCGCCCCGCATATGCCATGCGCCTGTTATTTCTGTTTGATTTTGTGACCCTGTCTCGCTGCCTCGGAGTCCGACCTTGCTTGCAACTCCTCCACGACCACTGTTCTTACAAGACTTCAAAGCTTCACTAGCCTTCAATCACTCATCTACAACTACTCGCCAGGGGTTTGCTGCCCCGTCCGAGTCGATGCGTTCGCGACGCACCGGCCCGCGATCATCTTGAGCTTGCCCGGCCTCAGGCCTCTACGGACAACTGACCATAGCTCACTGATCTTGGGACTCTCCGCACTGTAACTACCGATCCCATACAGCATACATACACTCTCCACGACGGAAAATACTCTAAGACTATGACTACTGTACACAACCCACACGAATCAGCAGTTTCGGACTCCTGACCTCTGAATCCGGCCTCTGTTCCTCGTCACGCTCCGCTCACAAGATCATATCCGAAGTTGACCATGTCCGTTTGTGGCTCATGGAGTCTCATCTAAAAACGAAAACCGGATGCTGTTCCAATGCGAATGAAATCTCTTCCTATGAACTGTGTGCCTTTCTTCATGTTCTTGGGCAGCTTGCTGGGGTTCTACGATCCGCGCGGGGTTCCTGGACAGGTGGTCTCACTCCTTTCTCAAGGAATATACTTCTTTTCTATGCGTCCACGAGCTCGCGCTGCATATGACGACGTCCTTCCGCCTTTTCATTCCCGGAGTAGACCCGTCAAACACATTCGACCATGCTTATATCCAGCCTTTGCTTCCTTCCTTCCATTCATCTCTGACCTCCCCTGGCGCATCCCAAAAAACTATCTCTAGCCTCGGAACAATGCGTCTCTCCTCCCTCCTCCTCCTCCTCTTCACCTCCCTCCCCTCCTCCCTCTCCCTAACCTACAAAGCCGCCGACTTCACCTCCCTCCCCCTCATCGAATCCTCCGGGCACACCTACTCCGACAACGGCTCCACCAAACCCTTCGAGACCATCCTCGCTTCGCACGGATGTAATACCGCGCGGATAAGGCTGTGGACGAGCGGACAGTATCAGTTGAGTTATGGGCTTGCGTTGGCGAGGAGGGTGAAGGCGGCGGGGATGACGTTGGTTGTGGATTTGCATTTTAGTGATACTTGTGAGTGTTGCGTCGTGAGGCCGTGACTGGAATGGTTGGTATGGTGTTTGGTGGTCTGATGGAGTTCGAATTTGTGGTGTACACTGTAGGGGCCGATCCGGGACATCAGGCTATTCCGTCCGGGTGGCCGACGACGCTGGACGGTCTTAATACTCAAGTCTTCACGTGAGTCCTCGATTGAATCTGTTCACCTGTGTGCTCTCGTTGAACTTTGATGTTTTGTCGGTAGTTACACACAAAGCATCGTCCAAGCCTTTGCCGCGCAAGGCACGCCCATCGATATCCTCCAAGTACATACACAACCCCACCCTTCCCTCCCCCTCCCCCTCCCCACCCCCATCTAACCTTCTCTCCCTCATTCACAGGTAGGCAACGAAATCAACGACGGCTTCCTCTGGCCCGTCGGCCAAATCTCCATCAACGGCTTCTCCGGCGCCTCCCAAATGCTTAACTCCGCCATCAACGGCGCCAAACAAGCCGGCTCCTCCATCCCGATCCCAAAAATAATGCTCCACCTCGCAGACGGCTGGTCCTGGTCCGAACAATCCTTCTTCTACTCCAGCATCTTCATCCCAGGCGAACTCTCCACCTCCGACCTCGACATCCTCGGCGTCTCTTTCTACCCGTTCTACAACACCGCGGCCACACTCGCTGCTCTGAAAAGTAGCTTGACGAATTTGGCGGGGTTGATGGGGAAGCCGATCGTGGTGGCGGAGACGGATTGGCCGGTGAGTTGTGAGGGGGTCAGTTTGAGCGAGACGGGGATTGCGATCTCGATGGCGGGGCAGGATACGTGGATTGAGGATGTTGAGGGGGTTGTGGCGGGACTCCCGAATGGACTGGGGCAGGGGATCTGTGAGTTCCTCTTCTTGCTTGTGGCTTTGATTCTGAATTTTTGAATGTGGGGGACTGACTGTTTTGTCTTCGACTGGGGTGTAGTTTATTGGGAGCCTGGTTGGATTGGGAATGCGGCCTTGGGTTCGGGTTGTTCGGTAAGCTCTTTTTTATTTTATTGCGGTCTTGATGTCTGGAGTGGTGTCCTGAGTAGAGCCCTTCTTTATTGTAGGACAACCTCTTGGTTTCATCTACCGGCGCAACGCGGGCCTCTATCGACATTTTCACGCATATGTAAAAACCGGTTCAATTCGTTTGTATATCCAAGCCGACAATCACATTTTATTGTGTATCCCATCGTCCCCAAGCACGAGTCGAAAGCTGAAGAAGGTGGTGGCTCGTGATATCCTCGAAGTCGCTTCCCAAGTGAAGAATCGATCTTCGAAACTTTACGGAAGTTAGACTCGAATGCCTAGCTCGTCTCCGATGATTGTGGCACCCTTCTCTCCAATTACAAGTGCTGTGGAATACGTGTTCTGAAGTAACAACACCTCACGATCAGCAGAAATCATACAGGACGGACATGAAGTCTCAACAAACTCACCGCACCAACGTTGGCAGGGCATATCGACATATCTGTAGGAATAAAAGGAAGGGACACCGCCAGAGATTCTGAGCCTGAAAGAAGACAGCTAACACACTAGCGGAACAGCATACCACAGACTTTAAGACCCTGGACACCATAAACGTTCAGCTTCGAGTCGACCACGCCGCCTTTCGCCCGAGGCTTCATGGAGCAAGTTCCGAGCTGAGTGAGCGCGTTAAATGTGTAGTGAACATCGGGAGCAAATGAACAACGTACGTAGTGCCACGCAGTGCGCACGAACTCCCTCGTGTACTGCTCGACGGCCACATCGTCCGCTTCATCATACTCAGTAACTAGATCATTCAGAACGAGTGGCCCGGATGTGTCTGATTCTAGGATGAGTGCGGCTTTGGAGCCTTCGGGGAACTTGGGATGCATCTCTGGGAGCTCTCCTCTGAATCAAACATCGGTAAGATTAAATTAAGGGCTGAGAGGTTTTGAGTGAGGGAAAAGAGTTGGCCTGACCGAAAGACAGGCATGCGACGAGCGACTTCTCGAGTGAATTTGTAGGCCCATACCAGAGGTTTGACATCGACGATGCTGAATATGCATAGGGAGCATAAACACGAAGCAACTCTTGTCGATGAGGAAGAGAAGCATACTCGTCCAAGTATCCAGTCCTGAAGTCGGTCGGCGCCAGGCCGTCCTCTCCGTCCGTGATATGTACATGTCCTCTCCCTACTGGATACGTCTACACGCAATCAGGTAAGCCCTTCCTCATCATTCCCTTCAACCTTCGAAACTTATAAACTCTACGTACGTTGTAGTACCCCATGCTGAAATACTTCCTTGGTGGCACCGCAGTCGGATCTCCCACGAGCCTGTCAATCCTCGATTTGACAGCCAATCTAAAATCGAGAACGTAGGGACCGAAAAACGTACATCGACACTATGGCGTGCCCGAGAACAGGTTTGTCCGGTTTGTCTTTAAATTCCTGTTCCCATCTCTTCTTGAACTCGGGTCCAAAAGCCTCGAGTTCAGCAGGAGAGGGGCGCATCTTGATCCCGCCATCGAGGCCGCTAGAGAACGAGAGGGGAGGGAAGAAAATGAGCAAGTAGGGGGCCTAGCTGAGTGGAAGGTATACTTGTGCGCCATAAGACCCTTTCCATCTTTGAACCATTGACCCGAGGTCACTGAAGAGCAGACCCATAAGCGATCGATTTATAACCAAAAAGGCGATGCAGCCAGGTTATAAACGTACGAGAAATTTCATCCGTGTCATTTCTCAATATGGCATCCAGAGTCTCGGCGTCTTCAGATGCTTGGTACGGAACGAAGAGGACGTTGTGGTCTAAGGCAAGCACGAATATTAGTCTGTTTTCTTTCCTGGAGAAGCACTCAGAGCCAGGATGCACACCCTGAAAGTTCTCCCCAACACCTTGAAGCTCGAGGTTTATCTCGACACCGCATCTCTCCAGGACGTCCTTGCGACCAATACCGGAGCGTTCTAAGACTCCAGGACTGCCGAAAGTACCGGCAGAAACAACGACCAGGCGTGTGGCGGAGACGGTATGCGTGGTAACGGTAGCCTGAGCGTCGGGGTAAAATTGACGGCTGAAGGAGAATTCGATTCCTGTGGCACGACCATTCCTGTAAAGTGAACATGTCCACAATGATGGCATGGGCATATGCAGGAGGGCTATGAGCATACGAATGACAATAGAGAACCTTACCTGATGAGGACACGCTTGACAAGAGCGCCAGTCACTATGTGCAGGTTTTTATTTTCCTCCGAGCTACGGTTGTAGATGAAGTGATGCGGAACGTCAGAACGTTTTCCGGTCTTAGCGTCGATCCACCTGGACGGAACACAACCAGCAAGGGTGTCATTATCGAGCCCGCGATGGTATGAAGCAGAACGCCTACTTCTGCCACCTCTGCAGAAGATATAAAGAGTGCAATCTAGGTCAAAATGTACGTTGCAAGAAAAAGAAAGGGACGAGCTTACTGCGTACTTATTGACCGTGCTAAGATCATTGGGGTCGATATTCTGCCCATCTGCGGTGTTAGTACCCCGCTCCTTGTCAAATTTCTTAGATACGTCAAGATATTGTGTCCCGACATTCGTGTACATGCCTCCCCATGATACGCTCAGAGGACCTTCGTAACCTGAAAGACCCAATTCGAACGCAAATAAGAGTCATGAGTATTGTATGGTGCTGAATATAAATCGTCATTCACCGTGATTGACCGCGTCTGGTTCTACTTGATACGTTTCAGTCTACACATATCCGAGTTAGCCCATAAGGATTTTGCAGGGTGGGCAAACGTCCACCTTCTTAAAAAGCGGTATGAGGTGCTCTGAGCTCCATCCTGGATTCTCGAACGTCGTCTCCCAGTCATCGTAGTCCGACCTGCTCCCTCGGGTATACATTCCAACTACAAAAGGCCGATAAGTTCAACGACAAGACCTTGAAGCGTTGATCCGAAAGGTACTAACAATTCACACTGGACCCGCCACCCAAGCATTGCGCGCACGATATGACCATTTCACGGTCGCCCAAGCTGTCTGACCTCTGGGCGGTATGGAACCGAACCGTATTCGAAGTAGGAATGAGATGAGTGAGAAAGCGAGCTGGCTGGATGTGTGTGAGGATATCCTTGGTGGGTGGACCAGTTTCGAGCACGAGGATCTTGAGAGATGAATCGGCTGCTGCAACTCGTGAAGCGACAATACAACCAGAGGTACCGCCTGGTGAATAGATAATATTAATGCCATGACTCTATCCCAGTGAGACATGAAGAGGGATACCTCCGGCAACTATTATGTCGTACGCAGCATCGACGGTTGGAGTGGTAGCCATATAGTGGACTGTTCAGATGGGGTCAAGGACTAGGCTAAGATGAGCGAAGCTGGGGAGAAAGGCAAGGCGACGACATGCCGCCCGATGATCATGTAAAGAAATATATCCATTCACGAGACGGGGGCCTGAATATAACACACAATCTAGGCAGACGAAGGCAGCTAGTAAGGCGTTCCTTTTCGCACACAGGCCGAGTTCCCCATTCTTTCTCGTTGATTGCGACGATAGTATAGGAAGAACCTTCCTTCTTTGTCCATGCAGAGAAAAAACCTAGATTTGAGCGCCCAGTCGCCCTGAGCTGCAAGTAGAAAAAGCTCGAGGCTAGCAACAGATAAGTAGTATCGGCACTTGGAGAAAACCACAATCCATGGGGGTAAAGAATTGTCGCCTGAAGATACCAAGAAAAATCTATCCTGCTGTATAGCCCCATGGTACGAGTTGGGTGCGGGAGAGGACTCCGAGCACTCGTTGCGCTGTCAATGCGGACGGGGCTAGACCCAGAGCTGAGCGAAAATTTGGCAAGAGTTCAATTAGAAGAGATGAATATGTAGAAAGAGACTCAAAACTCTCTGATACTAGTGCCTACTTGTTAAAGCGTGGGGTTGCAGCCAGCAGTGGGGTCCAAGTAGTAGGAAGAAACGATTTTGTAGTTGACTCAACGCAATATCATGATCGTGCGTATATGTTCCCACGCTCGGCCACTCTTCCGCGGTAGCCTGGTCCAGCCGTCATGCGTCACGTATATGCCCTCTATCGAGTAGGTATCACTTTATCGTTGCAAGACTCGTCCCGTGGACAGACATCATACGAAAGACTAGAGCTATTTGTGGCTTGAACAGGTCCTCTATATCTCCAGGGCCTGTAGCGCTCAACGACTCGCCACGAGAACCAGGCGGACTTTATAAAAACCAAGAGGACGAGTCATCCAAGATGTGTTCTCAAACAAGGGTAGCTAGGGTAAAGGTAACGCAGGGGGATACTGGGGAGGTAGCACACTATGGTCATACTAGAAGAGAAAGCGATGTCAAAAGAAGGTGAAAGCTAAAATGTCAAAACATGCACGACTATCAAAGATTGGAGTCTTGTCGGAGGTTCCGTCAACACCACATGACCTTATACTTGGATTCCCAGTTCCTGAGCGATGATTGTAGCGCCCTTCTCACCCACAACGAGGGCGGTGGAGTAAGTGTTCTGAAAAAGCAAGCGGAGGTTCAGTATCAAAGAAGGATAGAAGAACAAGCGTCAGTAGACTTACGGCACCAACGTTGCCAGGACAGATGGACATGTCTAAAGAGCCACAGTCAGACGGAGAAAAAATGGAAGAAATCATGCTCAAAAGCTGAGTAGGGACGCACCACAGACTTTGAGGCCTTGTACCCCGTAAACATTGAGCCTAGAGTCGACAACACCGCCCTTGGCGCGAGGCTTCATAGAACATGTACCGAGCTGCGATGAGCCAGATTTAGATTAGTATGTTGACGTCTGATCTATCATGACCGAAAATATTTTACCGAGTGCCACGCCGTCGAAACTAATGATGATGAGAGGTGAAATTAGACAAGTTGAAGAACGAAAAGGCGACAGTACACACCAAACTCTCTGGTATACTTCTCGATGGCGGCATCATCCTCTGGACCGTATTCCGCCATGGGGGCGTTGAGGTCAAGTGGTCCAGATCCCTTGTCAGTTTCATGGATAAGAGCTGCCTTAGAGCCATTGGGAAACTTAGGGTGCATTTCTGCAAGCTCGCCACTGATAGTTCGTAGAATGTCAAAGAAACGCATTAAGTCCGGAGATATCTGTGAACAACGCACCGGAAAACGGGCATGCGGCGAGCAATCTCACGCGTGAACTTGTAACCCCAGACCAAAGGTCTCACATCGGCCATGCTATACATCGACGAGGTTAGTACCATCATCCAACAGCGAATGGACAGGGGACGCACTCGTCTAAGAACCCAGTTCTGAAGTCGGTCGGCGCCTGAACATCCTCGCAGTCAGTGATATGAATATGGCCACGCGCGGCGGGATATTCCTGTAATATTTTAGAGGCTACAGTATGAGCGAACGCATCGGAGCATTGTCAGACACTTACGTTATAGAAACCAAGGCTGAAATATTTCCTGGGGGCCACAGTAGAGGGGTCACCGACGAGCCTTTGGCGCCCTATCGTCAGTTCAAGAGACAGAATGAGAGTGGAAATCGAACGCACATGGACACAATGCCCATCCAGAGAACAGGCTTGTCAGGCTTGTCGACGAACTCCGTGTCCCAGCGCCTCTTGAATTCGGGACCGAAAGCTTCGAGCTCGGAAGGAGAGGGCCTCATCTTGACACCGCCATCAATACCGCTAGTGATAATCGAATTATTATGAGCAAACAGCGATTGGAGTTCGAACGGACGCGAACGCATACTTGTGTGCCATCAAACCTTTGCCATCCTTGAACCATTGACCAGAAGCCACTGCAAAAACAATCAAACTAGTCAGATTCTTTCATGAATGGGTATCAACCAAAGACTAACGTGAAATCTCGTCGGTATCATTCCTGACGATGGCGTCCAACGTGTCAGCATCCGGAGCGGCCAAGTATGGAACAAAAACGACGTTGTGATCTGAAAGTAAAGAAGGATTGTTCTCTTCAATATTGGCGTCACTGTCGATGAACATTAGGCACACTCGTACCTTGGTAGCCCTCGCCGACACCTTCGAGCTCAACCCTGACATCGACGCCACACTTCTCCAATACGTCTCGGCGTCCGACTCCAGAACGCTCTAGGATACCTGGACTACCGAACGTTCCGGCGGACACGACGACCATTTGTTTGGCAGAGACCGTGTGGCTGGCTGGTGGTACGTCCGGGAAGAAGCGTGGGTTGAATGAGAATTCAACGCCTGTGGCACGGTCTCCTCTATACCCACGATAATAATCATCAACATTTACTGCGATGCGCATATTTTGAAAAGACATAAACCAACTACACTTACTCGATCAAGACGCGGCGGACGAGCACACCAGTGACAACATGGAGGTTCTCATTCTGTTCGGACTCTGGGTTATAAATGAAATGGTGGGGAACGTCGGAACGCTTTCCAGAGTAGGTATCAATCCACCTGAGAGAACAGTTGAAATCAATATATACATATGATACATATGCATGGGGACGGGTCCACTTACTTCTGCCATCTCTGTCAATTCACAGAATACAATATGGAGGCCATTAGTAACGGCAACCCGAGGTAGATCTCGAAGGACGACGTACTCCGTACTTGTTAACAGTTACAAGATCGTTCGGGTCAACGTTCTCCCCTTCAGCAGCGTTCGGTCCCCGCTCTTTGTCGAACTTGGAGGCGACATCGAGATATTGTTGGCCGACATTGGTGAATTTACCTCCATATGACACCTTAAGGGGACCGCCAGAACCTGCACGAGATGCAATCAGTCCACGGACGTCGACGGATACAAGTGGAAGGCAAATCTGATATTTTATAGCAGTGCAACATCAAGAACCGTCGTGTGAACAAGACTTACCATGGTTAAGGGCATCATCTCCCTCCTGGTAGGTCTCAGTCTGCAAAAATAAGAACCTCAGTCCTCGATAACGGGAGGTCAGGTGGCGCTTAGAGGCTAACCTTCTTGAGCAACGGGATAAGGTCTTTGGAACCCCAACCTTGATTCTCGTACGTCTCCTCCCAGTCGTCATAGTCGGATCTACTTGCCCTGGTGTACATCGCGACTAAAGCGTTTCGTTAGTTACAGCGTTGATCAACACGCCACGCCAAGGAGACTACTGACAGTTGACACTGGACCCGCCGCCCAAGCATTGACCGCATGGGACGACAATCTTACGCCCGCCGAGGTTCTCGGAGGCCTGCGCGGCGTGGAAGCGAACAGTAGTAGAGGTGGGGGCGAGATGCGAGAGGTACCGCGCGGGTTGGATGTGCGTGAGGAGATCCTTGGTTGGTGGCCCGGCTTCGAGGACAAGAATCCGGAGAGAGGAGTCTGCGGAGGCCAGGCGAGAGGCAAGAAGACAACCACTTGTTCCACCTAGAAGGTACCAGGATGTTAGTTTTTGTATGACCCAAATCGACAACAATGTACGCACCTCCTGCGACGATGATGTCGTATTCGGAGTTGATGTTGGGGGTAGCGGACATTGTGAACGTGTTGAAGAGGGTGCAAGTGTCGCTGAAAATGAGATGAGGAGGCGGGAGTGTAGGAGTATATGGGCGGCGCGCGAGAGAAAAGGCAAGAGTGGGAAGAGAATCGGGCGGGATGTTGGAGTCTCTTATATCCTTGCCCACTCAGAAGCGCCCAAACATATCACAGGGCAGATCGAAGCAACTGAGTTCTTTTCACACCTCTCCTCGTCACCCACCCGAACTGCCTTAAGATGCGTCGATCTCCGGTGTTCGGCGGGTGCGAAACGTGTCACGGAGAGAATGACATGTATCGTGGTGGACGAAGTCAGTGTGAACTAAACGTCTCGTTTTGCAGATGGGATATGCATATAGGGAGCTGCTTCCAACTTCTGTAGTCTCCGGGATCATGGACGAATGTTCAACACTAATCGTGTCGTCGGCTCGCATGTGATGCACTTCGAAGGTCAGTCAACACAATAGGTGAAGACGGTGAAGACGTTGGCGAGGACTGCGAGGTCGAAAGAACGAGCACGCATAGATCCCGCGCCCGAGCAACAGGCACGGTCCTAAACGGCGAACACAGAACTCGAGGCCCAGAAAATTCCCAAGCTCTCCGCTAAAAAGCAATGATATGCCTATCCCCATGGTATGTGGATTTTAGCCTTAGAGTGAGACTTCGAGAAGTACAAAGATCGAAGAAGGCCTGCCATTGGAAGCGAACACGAGCAGCGCTTTTCACTACGCCTACGTCCAACTTGGTTGGGTGGATAAATTTATATCTTCGATAAAGGAGCTTACATACAAACTGCCATTTTCGGCTACTCAACGTTATTCAACAACGAACATTGACACTGACTATGCTCAGCACTCAAGCCCTATGTAGCCTAGCATAGTGCGATTTTGCCCCGCCAAGCTATCGCGCCGGATATGAAAAGCCATGAATAGAGAGCTCTGGGAGTCAAGGAACAGACTCCAGTGAAAGTGAGACAAGATACGGACCGAACGCGAACATTTGAGCGTCAGAGCCGCCAGAGGGGATAATGGATCCGGAGGAAGGAGCAAAGAAGAGGAACGCGCCATTCCGAACTCTCGTTTCAGAGTCCGCCTGCAAGTCCGTTTCAGCAAAACCTACGCCACAGTGGCACCGTATGCTCACCCAACCGTTCTCCCACGGATCTAGCACGTTTCATCAGACAGTCCAGTCAACAGTGCGCCAGCTAAGGCGTCTATAAAGGCCCGACGGAGAGTTATCTATTCGGCATAAAGTCTCAGGGGATACACAAACGCCACAGTATCGTACTCAAACACTCCGAAAACACCCGTCCACTGCATCTGAATCGTACACCAATCGTACATCCCCAACGTCAACCCTTCTGCAAAAACATACAAATAAGAAACATTCCGCATCTACAAATGAAAGAATGATCTTTGAATAATCTACTATTCGGGAAAAAACTAGAATACTGTCTTTCCCGATCGTGGTAAAAGCTCCATCTCATAACCATTGATTGAGGGTTCATATTCGTTTTGCTGGGTCCTGTGGTCAGCTTTCATCGCTCTCCTTGGCAGCGAACTGCGATGATATCATCGAACTCACAGAAGAACCTCTTTGCGTCGTTATTCCGGATCCTCTAGTTTTCGAAGGGGCCGCGCCCTCGTACGAACCGCGAGCGGTCTCGCTCTCCGCTGAGTTCACCCAACCAATCGAGTCCTTCCATCGTCCATGATCCAACGGCGCGCCGATATTCCCAAGGATTCTACCTTCGGCGTTCGTGAATGTCAACTTCGGAATGGTGTCGATCTCGTCGGTGTATACGATTCTGTGTTGTGTTGAATACTCGCGGAGATTGAGTACGAGACGGTTGACGAGCATGTTCGGCGTGCTATGCCAAATCATTTCATGGTATAAGTTTTGTCACGGAATCGATAGCGGCGGTGGATGGTGGAACAAACTCACTAGTCGCAGTATGCAGACATTATCGCCGTGAACGCGTATCCAGAGTACGAGTTCTATTCGACAAGTAGAACTTGTGTTATATTTTGACACCCGCCGGACCCAGAAAATACTCACATCCCCACCGACGATTGTTGCCTATTGCGAAGAAAACATGAAGTAAGGATGAAGTGGCCATAGACAATAATGTTTCATCAAGCTCTCACGATGTGTAGCGACATGTCTATCGCCGTCATGAGAAAGACAAGCCTGAAAGTGTGATAGATATTCTTCAGCGGTCGAGTAACACTTAGTACAGGCTGAAAAACTCGCAGAAAATAAATAATGCCTGAAGTTTCGCGTAAATCATTCAGCACGCGTAAAGTATCTAGACAGGTTACTCACCGTCGCGGAGAAGAATGTTCGCAATCCCCTCTTGCGCTATCTGTCGCATCTCGCGAACGTGTCGAACCGTCTTCTTGAGGGTCAACACGAAGACGAATGTATCAAAACCCAATGCGAGAGAGTCCGTCGTGAGTTGCACTATAAAAGGTCAGATTTCTTTCAGATCTGGGACCAGGTGTGGTCAATGCACGCACTACTGTGACAGTAAAGTACCCTCCTTAGCGAGAGTATTACAGTTGAACATTCAGGCACGCACGCATTGAACGTATGAAGGTTTGCACTGACTTCACTACCACATCGTAATCCCAATTCGCCATAGCCAGTGGATCCTGTCTGCCGTATTGCTTTGACGACAGTCTGAGCAGAAAAAAGAGAATCAATGTCTATCCACCGAGTATATTTCACAATAGACGCACCCAGAGGTCGACGCCAAGTCTTGCTAGCACGAGTATGGATGCTATGACAATGATCCATCGATTTCGGTTGTACAGAGCGTACACCCTCATAGTCAATATTGCTAGAAAGCGATAAACGATCAGCACATTAGTTTGATAAATAAAAGGAAAGACGACGAAGAAGACCACACACCGCTCGTGGTCATGACAGTGACGATACCACATGCATAATAGAGATGGTGCCAGAAGGAACAACTAAAGTTGAGGCATAATTAATACAACAATAAGGTCATGGATGGTGGACAGGAATCCTCGAGACCTTGTTGAGGAGGCATAGCCAGGAGTGTTTGCGTAGAGTTCAGCAACGATAGACGCGAGCAGCAGGTAACGATTGACAAGGAAAATCAGGGAAACGCCAGTGAACTTCTTCATCCAGATCGTATGTATTTCCATCGGGAGGGTCTGAAGGTAGTCGTACATCCAGAATACTGTATGTGTCGATCTCAGTATACAGGAGACATATGGATTTGTTTGGAGAAGCGTCTGGAGGGTGACTGACCACGTGCAGATTGGTTTACATAGTCCTCTAAAAGCCTACAATCACCGATAGGAGAAAAGTATGTGATGAACCTCATTCACTGAATGATATGACAATGAGCCACTCACGAGAGTTCGATGTCTTGTATGGTCACCCCGACAGTCGCGTTCGACATGCTGATGGTGGGAAGAGGAGAGCTCAGATCGCTGAGGATCGAAGGTGTTATATGAGCTTCAAGGAGCGTGCACGCGGCGCCCATACACAAGATCCGCATGTTAAAGCATCAGGCAGGAACTCAACAAACTATCCAGATGAAATCCTTATCAGCACATGGAAAGACCTGATTGAAAGAGAAAAGGCTTTGTAGCTTGCGGAGGACGTTCAGACACCTACGAGAAGGATGAATCCTTGAACAACTCGATGAGCTTGGGTCATGCCGCCGCACAATTTGAGGCCTGCAGCGATATGAAAGGTCTGACCCAGGCGAACAAGTCCAAGTTGCGTCTCTAACATGGTTGAGCACATTGAGGTCCAAACTTTTTGTCTCCTATGGCGCTTTCAAAGTTCGTTGCCACGCATGCAGCATTTCATCCGGGTGATGAGAAAACATCGCACTGCTATCGTGCAGGAATCCAAAAGATTCATATGCTTTGGCGGTACCGTATCTGTTTAATACCCCTCACATATTATGTTCTACCTGGTACCTAGTGGTGGTAGGATAGATCCGCACCGAGTAACCAAATCTAAGGATCGACGTACGCCGACAAGGCATAATGGCCGATAGCAGGAAAGACATGTATTGGTCGCCTCTTACCGTCTGTCAACAGCCGGACCTACCATGCCATACAACTCTTCTCAAGGCACCAAGTAGGATGATTGGTCGGGAGGGGCTTTGAAGATCTGCATATTTCGATGCCGAGGTGAAGACCATGAGGGCATCGGAAGGAAACATACCGATTCACTAGGCCGATATACGAGTCCACACGGTGGCGAGATAAGCTGGAGTGGTCCAGCTAGCACGAGTCTCTGAATACGAAGCGTCTAAAACCCCTTTCACAGCTAGTTCATGCCGTTGAAAATATGTCGGCGTGTCGATCCTAAATCCGGTCCCGAAGATATAGTCGTCTGAGGTCACGGTGGGCCACACATTGTGGGTGGAGAATAGGCGACAGGCTGCGAGCCAAATACCCCCCACGAGTTCGCGCCCGTAGATCTTTGAAAGACATACGCATGGAAACGCCTTTCAAGAGCAAAGTCGTGTTCAGATCAGCCAGTACAGTGGGCAGAAGAAGCTGGTCAGGATCAGAAGTTCAAAGCCATTCAAAGCGCGCTTTGTTTGGGGAGGCTGAGAATGTGGATTCTCACGCCACACATTACCAAATTGAGCGAGCAAGGGCAGCTGATTGCTTTAGCACGACTACAACGGTGGAGCCCAAACAGCTACAGCTCTCTGAACCAAACCCTCACCTTCTCACAACACGTTGTCAGGACTCTTTTTACACTGCCGACAGCCTTTGATCTTTACTTTATATATTGTATACCATATTTCATCGACGACAGAAACTATGTCGGAGACCACGATCAGCAGCCCACCATCTCACCCGCCAGCCCCTAGCCGCACAGCGTCAGGCCGGCCAAAGGGAATCCTTAAGAATGCACCAGCGCCACCTCTACCGACACCAGGGGGACAGCAGTGCGCATTTCTGTGACCATTTGCTTTCTTTCATACGTTGACTATCTTGATCTCTATCAGCTTGCAATGGGACGAGGCGAACATTGCCCTCACGGAACTTCAGAAGGACAGTCTGATGAAGATCACAGAGCCAAAGACGCCATATGTCCGTTACAATGCAGAGACAGACACCGTGGAGGGCGGTAGGTTGCCATATTATCAAAGAGCGAACATATCTCACTTTGCTCCTAGATATCCCCAACCTCGATCTCGGAAATCTCGACTCTAGCTCCCCATCATCCCCCATCCTGCGGACCCAATCACCAACATCCAGCACTGGCCCTGACGTACCTAATTCCGGACCTTCGTCTCGTCGTACTTCGTTCTCCTCTGCCTCTCTCAGTCATCCATCTGCTGCAAGCCCACCGCTCGACCCCACCATCCTGAATACCCAAGCCAACTCTGCGATCGGATCAGGGAGACCTACGAGTATCAGTGGGCGAAGTGGAAGTGGAAGTTCGAGTCGAAGCACAAGCTTCAATCTGCCTTCCGATGCGAGAGGTGATATCACTGGGATTGGCAGCGATGCGGAGAGGGGCGAAGTAGAAGAGGAAGAGATGGATGAAGAAAGTGAGCGATTCCCTCGCTCTTATATGCATCGTAATAACATATCTTCATCAGCGCAAGCTAAGCATGAGGCCTTCATCAAGGCTAGAGGCCGGCACTACTCGAACGAAGCGGAAGCCATGAAGGTCGGTAGTCATACTCTACGTTGCGTCTCTTATCATCTTCTAACGGCCTTGATATAGATGGCGCAGAAACTCATGGAGGAGGAAGACGACGATGCGGAGGAAGAGACGAACGGTGCGGTAGACGACGATGTCTCTATGAATGGCGACGAACCACCCAAGGTCAACGGAGTCGTCCATGGCATTTGAAGATTCACCGTCATTCGGAGTCACACCTTAGGGGGCAGCGTTGTCCCGATGGTCTTCATGTTAGCTTTATTTTGACGGGCAATGGATGGACGATGGCGAACGAAGATGCGATAGCAAGTGGGGTGGTAGGCGGCCGCGGTGAGATAGACGGTCAGTGAAGTTTCTTGAGATGTACCTTCTGATACCGAATGCGATGCTTTTTCTGGACGTTCGGCTTTATCGTGTGCCCCTGACGTACTCTGTCTGAGAATGAGATACCTCATGATTTCATGTAGATTCAAAGCATTCCTGTATGGCTTGGAAGTTGTGGTTGTTTGCTAAGATCTAGTTTCACTCTTGCATTTGCGCCGAAATTCCTTGTAATGAGGTGGCGCGCCACAGTTCATTTCTCGACGGCGCCACTTATCAAAACTCCGACCTGCTCCGACCGGAATTCAACATTTGTTCACGAATCTCTTCTCCGTCACTCACTCTTGTCTTCTCTTTTGGGTCACTCTAAGGTTCGTTCGAACATCATTTTATTCTTCCCTATTCTTCCCCATCATTCTGATAAATGCTCTACCTTGGTCATATATACTCCAGTGATATGTCTGGCTTCTGTTATTGGTGACGAACATAAAGCTGTACACTGGCTGCATCGTTTTGTCGATTGCGTGACCAACCTGTACATGCATCGACACTGGCCCTGCTCTCTGTAAGTATGTGCACGAAGACGTGCAGTCCGGTGTTCACATTTGCGAGGACAATCATTGTCCATATTTGCGTGGGAGTGTGTATTGTTGGTGGGTCTGTTGTGGACTTGTCTCGAGCCTCGCAATTCCTCTAATCCCCGTGGTTTGGGCGATCTATCGCGTGCACTCCACGTTCCGACGGATAAAGGATTGGCAGGCAGGAAGGAAGCGAGCGAAAGAAACGCCGACCGAGCTTGGACCGAGCCCATCAAATCCTGGATGATACCGACCGATGTTGTTTCGTCTCCAGCTACGGCAAATCACATTGACCCCCTGTCCCAAATCTCTGGCGTTGTGACTTCACAGAAGGGATTTACACTGATTAGCATTTGATTCGATGATTGCTGAGATATCGACTGATGTGGAGATGGGCCACTTTCTGAGTCCGAACACCTTGCGGATCGTTCATACAAAACACGAACTTGGCTTCGTTCCTTCGATCACGGCGTCAAGTGAAACGCCCTCTTTGCCCGAACTCCCCTCCCGCTCCTACCGTCATGTCGAATACAAGCTTGGAGGAACTCATACAAGACGTCGAACTAACGCAAGCTGTTCTTCTGAGTTTCCAAACGATGTTCTAGCTCAACTCATTGTCTCTGCTTTAGGCAACTGTCGGTGTTCGTGGCTACATCTGCCCGCGGTTCGCATCTGCGTCTCGATCACGTTATCCCTCCTCGAATATTGACATCGCCTCTCCTTCTGTCTGGAAATATCAGCATTATGGATATACGACTACATTCAAACCCTCCCGATGGAGATACACGCCATTTGGTCCCAAAAAATGACCGGGATTTCGTTCATGTTCCTGGTCAATCGCTATCTACTCCTCATCGCTATTATAGCTCAGATCTATGGGGACTCTCCAGGAAATGATTCCATCGCAAGGTGACACTTCAATGTTCTTGTTTGGTGTGACGCAGAGACTAACCATGTTTGGTTTGTAGTTGTACAGTATGGGAGCGTTTTCATTATGTATGTGGCATCATTACCGTGGTGACTACAAGTGGTAAGTCTTGTCTCGGCATATTCCCCGTCGAGCAAGAACTTCATATCCTTTTCTAGGTCTGTTCACTATGAGGGTGTACGCCATGTATGGACATAGCCGAGGGATCATCGTTGTGGCTTCAGTTCTTGTCTTAGGAAGGCTTGCTGTTGATATTTGGGTACGTCGATCCAGATGACCACATGGTATATAGGCTCTAATCCGTTGGGTTTCTTAGAATACTACGCTGTTGAAACAAGTGGATGGCTCTAGCCTGAGCGCTAGCTTGTGGGACTTCCGATGCAATAATGGATTCACAGGCAACCCCGAGACATATAATGAGTATGTTGTCCATCCTAAGGGCGTCCGTCGCGCATTCTAACACAGTGAACCGTTTCTCGTGGTCTAGCCGTGTGTTGTCCCGTTTATATTCGAGCCTTACGGGTATCTGATTCCTGACGTGAACCACAACACACAGTACAACTCGCCACCGACACCCTAGCTTTGGCATTCGACACATTCATCTTTGCATTGACGCTGCGAAAGACGTTCTTTCATGTCCGTGAAATGCGGCGTCTATCGCAAACGGGAATCGCTGATATCCTTCTCCGCGATGGTGAGCGTTCCAAGCTACCTTCATCGCACACATTCACGCTGAGATACTGCTCACCTTTCAGGAATTCTATACTTCCTGTGTGTACCCTGTGTCCGCCACTCGTCTTCGATCGTACACTCAAGGATGTGTATGGCCCCTTAGAATTGTCTTCTTGATCACGGTAGTAGACATGACTCTGCATATCGTGAGTATCTCGATAGCATCATTCCGAACCATGCCTCATAATGTCAATACTACCACAGATCACCGTCGTAAGCCCCGAGGTAAGTTATGTCGATTACCTCTGGCGCTAGAAGATAACACTGCTATGTGATAGCAATCGTTGGGTACATACTCATTGACATCCATCATGTCCTCGTATTACGACTAGTCAGTGCGATTCATTGCTTTTTTTCGCTCATTCATACTCAGTAGGCAACCCCGTGCTACTCCTATAGCATGCCCAACCTCCTCATCAACCGACTCGTCCTCAACCTTCGCAACTATTCGACACCGCTACATCAAGGTATCATCACCGAGCCCAACGACCTTCCGGACATGATGTTTCAGTCTCGCTCGAACCGAGTACTAGGAAACATCGCAGCGCCGTTGGATCACGGTCAGTGGAAGGATACGTTCGGTTGGCTAGAGACGGAGGAAAGCGACGGCGGAAGCGGCGATCCCGAAGAGCCATTGGATGGTACAACTGCCGGGGAGAGTTCTCTGCTGACAGACTCGGTGAGCGACCTCGTTTCTTTTTCATGTACAAGGAAGCTGAACTATAGCTTCTAGGCAGATGCCTCTGAGCGAAGAGCCAGTGTCGTGATAGAGATGGACGACATGGTGCCACTTCCACACTCACCACCAAATGACTTGGTCTGACATTGATTAGTGCGGTCTTTTGTATCCTCTTTGTAACTTTCTCAATAGCTTTCATTCTTCCGTACGGTATCGCTCGTAACGGCAGGCCCCTGTCAGTGTTGGCATCATTCGCCGCTCAATCGGAACATTGTGGCGCAAATCATGTGGCCCAGAGCTTCGTTCAAAATAATTCCTGACAACAAATAAAAATCACAAAACACAAAGCCCACAAAACACAAGTCCACAACCTTCCGTACACTTCTCCCCTTGCTCCGTTTTGACTCGCGCCTTCTTCTCAGGGCAGAGCCAACACGATATCCTTCAAGAGGCCGAAGTTGGGTGTTCCCAGACCGGTTACTATAAATCCACAAAAATTAGTAAAAATTCTCCAGGACCAAGAAGCAGAAAACGGCGCACCTGGGTCCCACCCAGAAGTAACGTTGAAGCCTGTCGTTCCACATCCCGCATTGTTCCCAACGAGAATGTCCGTCAAACCCGCGAACCCAGTCGAGTACAAGAACGGGTTCAAAAACCCAAGCGTGCTCAACCCCGCATCGATCCTCGCACTATTCAACAACGCAATAACTCCCGCAAACGTCGGCGAACTGGCCGAAGTACCACCGATGAGGGTAGGCGAGCCGTCGATGAAGATGCGGAGGAAGTCGCCCTGGGCGGAGACGTCGGGGTAGGCACGGCCGGAGGCGTTGAAGAGGCCGGCGTAGGTGCCTTCGGGGAGGGCGGCGAGGTAGGCAGAGACGACGGAGTCTTGGTAGGAGGGACGGACGAAGTAGTTGGAGAAGCCACCGCCGGAGAAGAAGCGAGAGACGGCGGTCTCAGGGATGTGGTTGGTGGCGCCGACGGCGGTCACGCTGATACCATATTTTGTTAGTCAAAGAAAGAATGTTGTAGAAGTTGGAGACGAATACTGACAATGGACAGCTGGCAGGGAAGGCGGGGATGAAGACAGTAGCGTTTGTGCCGTTGTTAGAGAAGCACTGCTGAGTGGCGGGATTTGAGTCGCCTGCAGAACAATCAGCACCAATCAGTATCTCGGACAAAGAGTACGATAGAATAAGACATAAAACGTACCATCGCCGACACCACCATCTCCGGAGCTGAACATTACAGAGACACCGCGGGCGCCGAGTTGAGCAAAGCCATTGCAAGCAGTAATAGCGAAGGACTCGGGGACTGTAGGGTTAGGTTCAGCAACTGAGGCGATATGCACGACCGGCACTGAAGGTTACCTGTCTGCTCACTAAGAAAAGAAGTGGTCTCAGTACATAGTCAGATTATATTCGGAAGCGACGTACTCATCACCGTAAGAAGTCGAGATGGTTTGAGGAATAGTCGTCTGGTTGAGGACGAAGTCCAGCCACTATAGATGGAAATTAGACACCGTCATGCATCATGGTCGACGGTCCCACTTGCCTCGGTGTAAGGTTCATTGGTATCAGTGGGGGTTCCAGTGTCGGCTTAAGGACGGCACCAATGAGATGCGAAATCAAGACGCCTGAACTTCGGGAGAAAAGACGTACGTATAAATGGTGGGGATCCACCAGTAGACCAGAACAGACCAGGGGTTGGGAACGAGACACCGAGAGCGAATTGGGTATCGAGGTTTGCTTCCGCACCGGCGTTGGCAGGTGTCTGGTCGTTCTCTCCACCTGTACACGACAATTCTCCGGTTAGCAACAAATCCCCCACGTTATCACGCAAGAAATGAAAAGGATTGCACGAACCGTTCACGAGCTCAACGCTAAAGTTGGTGCCAACAGCTTGCGGAAGCTGGTCGGCGTAGAAGTCCTGCAAATCCTGGAAGTTCGCGAACTGCTCGAGGTAACCCGTCAAGCCAATGGCGTTTCCATTCGTAGCACTTGCGTTGAAGTCGGTGACATTGTAGAGCTCGTTGATGCATGTGACGGTGATAGTCGAGTTACAGCTGTTGTCGACCACGGTACCAGATCCAGAGGTAATGGAACCCGTGCTCTCGGGGATAGAATCGGCATGATCAATGACGCTAATGAAGGAGCGCTGGGGCTTGAGGCGACCGAACATAGTCTGGACATCGTTCGCGGGTCAGGAGAGCCAAGGGGAGGTGACGATGAGAGAAGAACAAACAGTTGGCTGCACGCCTGAGACATGCTCATGAAGGTCCTCGGGAAGTGCATAGCTCGTCGTGCGAACAATCACGTCTCCGTCGACAGCATGTTGCCACATATAATATTTCTGGCTCACACGGCCCCGCATTAGTGGCGAAAGTGGGTCCAAGACCACGGAACGTCTACTCACCGTGTCCAACATCTTCTCTGCCATCGACACAGGCACCTTCACTTTGACCCAGTCCGGACCCCTCGCGCAATCGCTCTCCTGGATGTTGTGCTCCTCCAACCACCTCGAGACAGCATCGACACTCTCACCGTGTGGCTTCACCAACTCGTCCACCTCCTCCTTCGAGAGATGCGCTCCATACCTCGGGTGAGACGGATCGCTGACCTCGTAGAGATGGCTCTCGAGCGTAGCAAAGTTGGGCTGCGGGAACGCGATGCGCAGGTTGATTTTGTGGTCCGCAGGAGGAGTGCCGACATTGACCCAGTTACGAGGAACGTTAATGCTCTCCTTGACCTTGCTGGAGCGTCTCAGACCAGGAGTGGCAGAGGCGACGCCGCCGAGAGCGAGCACAACTGAAGCGAACACGAGCATGCTGTCCTAGGGGCCGTTGTGAGGCCCGAGCATCGACACATGCGTCCCTTATATACGCGTTGCCTAGCAGGAAAGAAGTCCCGGGGCAGGAGAAGCCAAGGAGAAGCATGAACCGGCAAGCGTGATCTGAATTCCTGTGAAAGAGATAAGCGAATGCTAAATGAAGACTGTATTTCGAGACCGAACAATCATTATTCTTGCTGTGCTTTCGCCGGAGGAGAGCATGCTGCTGACTTTCGGTGGGAAGTGTTCTTGATGCTTGTGCAGCCGTTGTGGGAGTACATGGGAGTCCAATCGTGTCCAGCCATGTTGCTCTCATCAGATCGCGAGCTTCAGAAGAGTTCTGGTCTTGCATCGCACCGTTCGTCAAGTACGATGGCGAGCCTTGGCCGGCGCATTGAGAAGCCGAATATACTTGGCCTCCTAACGATTTCGGTAACAGTCAGACGTAGTTGGGCGGAGCTGCGACCCTGTCCATGATGGCGGCATGACAGAGTACCAAGTTTACATGTGGACGTGTGAGCTGTTCCTCGAGACTCGGCGTACCAAAATGCAATTGTACTCGCCGTCATCGTTTCATACTATAACCTAATTTCCGTCGATTTACATTGTTCTCGAATGGGGATAGTCTAGCCGGCCTACTACACGGTTTTCTTGGGCAACGATCTAGCGCCGTCACGTCGGATGGATGGGAGTAAGTACACGACAATCAGAGGACAACATAAAATTTGCACAAGTCGATGAGGAAGGAGTGCGAAAGCTTGAAAAGGGCGTTAGACTGTTGGCGGTCTGTCTTAAAAGGAAACCGCTCCGCCGAAAACAGACACATTCGGTGGGTGGCGCTGAGGCAAAACTGCGAGATACCGTAGGCGAGGCCAATCTACCTCAAGAACGTGGATATATCTACGAAGACTAGGCTACAAAATCGCACCAACTGCGGTCGGACACCCTGGTTCAAAGAATATTACAACCCCAACACAATCTCCTTCAACTTCTTGAAATCAGGCGTTCCAAGACCCGTTACTATAAATCCACAATAATCAGTAATCAGTGGAGCGCACACAGGCCAATCACACAGAAAAAACGAACCAGGATCCCATCCTTCAGTCACATTAAACCCAGGCGTTCCACACCCCGCATTATTCCCCACGAGAATATCGTTCAACCCCGCAAGACCCGTGCTGTACAACATAGGGTTCAAGAAACCGAGAGTCGGTAAGCCAGCAGAGATGCGTGCGTCGTTCAGGAGGGATACGATTCCGGCGAAGGTGGGTGTGGCGGCGGAGGTGCCGCCGATTAAGATGGGTGAGCCGGAGAGGAAGATGCGGAGGAAGTCGCCTTGGGCGGAGACGTCGGGGATGGCCTGTTAGGAGGTTAGGTGGTGAGTGAAGTTAACGTCGACCAGAGGCAGTAAGGGGGAAGCTTTGACGTACCCGTCCTTCACTAAAACGAGAGAGTAGATTAACAACAGATCGAGAAGACGGTTGAAGGAGGTGTTGCGTATACGTACGGGTTGAACAGTCCTTTATAAGTGTTCTTGTCGAACTTTTCGAAGAACGAAGCGACCGCTGCGTCTTGGTACGAAGGTCGAGAGAACTTAGTGGCGATTAAGTTAGAACCTTGGTCTTAACCTGATACAGGGAGAACAACAGTCTTACATAGTTAGAGAATCCTCCGCCAGAGAAGAACCGAGTGACCGCGACTTCGGGGATGTGTTGTGTAGCACCAACCGAGGTGATGCTACGATGGTCGAAAACCGGCAGTCAGCCGACCATCCAACAAGAGTCTGACCGGAAAGGGGAGTACGTACAAAGGACACGATGCGGGGAACAAGGGTATGAAAGTCGTTCTGTTCGTGCCATCGTTCGCAATACACTCCGTAGTCGAAGCATTGAATGTGGCCTGTCCGTCACCCACACCGTTGTCGCCAGAACCGAACAAGAGTGAAACGCCGCGGGCGCCTGAAATATGCATGAGACAGACTCCCTAGACAGCACGAATGGAGTACATACCGAGTTGGGCGAATCCTGCACAAGCCCGTTTGGCAAAGCTTTCGGGGACTATTGATATATGTCTGAGTACGCCGCGGTAGAGGAATACTGGTTGTCAAATAACGCACCACTCTGCTCACTAGATCGAGTTTAGGTTCAATCGTGGTTCATTCTCCGTCGCGAATAAGAAAGACTTACGAATCAGCATAGCTAGTGGAAATCGTTTGAGGTGGATTCGGATGCGACAAGACGAAGTCCAACCACTATATTGCAGTTCTCGGTATGAGTTTACTTGATGCGTGCGATATTGTTATGGGGAGCTTACCTCAGTGTATGGCTCATTAGTATCCGTGGGGGTAAGTGCATCCGGTACGAACGGCGGGGAGCCGGCGGTGGTCCAGAAAGTACCCGGAGCTGGGAAAGTTAGTCCAAAGGCGAACTGGACATCCAAATCTGCTTCAGCTCCCGCTGCGCTCAAGGTTTGATTGTTCGTGCCGCCTGAGAGCTCACAAACACCGTCAGAACAGTTATGACACCGAAGAAAAAAAGTATGTTTTATCACCATTGACGGAAACGACCTTGAAAGACGAATTCAGAGCGTCTGGCCTTTGGTCGGCATAAAACAGTTGCAGGTCCTCCATGTTAGCAAACTGGTCCAGATAACCCGTGATGCCTATGAAAAACATCATCAACTAGTCTAAGTAAAAGCTCGGCCCTCGAATTAAATGGAACTACAGACATACCGATCTGGTTACCATTTACGGCGCTGGAGTTGTATCCAACAGCACTGTACAACTGCTTGATACAAGTAATAGTGATGGTCGTGTTGCAGCTCGCATCGACTTTGACGCCAGTGACGGGATCGGTAATAGTCCCATTTGAAGAATTGCTAGCGAAAGCCTGGTCCGGTACGAGGCTAACCATGGACTTCTGACGGAGAGGACGGGCGAACATGGTCGTAGGCTGAATGAGCTCGATATGCGAATGAAGGTCCGAAGGTAAACTGTAGCTCGTCGTGCGAACGAGCACGTCCCCGTCTTGGGCATGTTTCCAGACGTAGTATTTCTACGTGCCAGACGCGTCGTTATTCCTCTTTGCACAATAAGTGAAGGAAGGAATATTCTGCGCACCGTATCGAGCATTTTTTCAGCCAAACCAACCGAAACACGAACTCTGACCCAGTCTCCCGCATCCGACCTCGAAACCTGGTCCGCTCCGATCCCATGCTGTTCTAACCATTCGCTCACAGCGTTGACACTACCCTCACGAGGTGCCACGAGCTCCTCTACCTCTTCCTTCGATAGATGCTCTCCATACCTCGAGTGCGAAGGGTCGCTGACCTCATACAGATGCTGCTCGAGGGCATCAAAGTTGGATTGAGGCAGGGCGATCCGAAGGGCGATCGTATGATCTGCTGGAGCAGCGCCCAGATTGATCCATTCCCTCGGTGCCTCGATGCTTTCCTTGACTTTGCTAGTGTATTTTGGAGAAGCAAAAGCAAAGGCAGACAAGACGAGGGGGACGAGGAATATCATCATGGTGGTGCTCGCGCGAAGTCGGGGGGCGCCAACAGGAGCCGAAGCGAGCAGCATGGTTCGAATTTATAGATAGAGATCTAAAATTGGATGTTGATCATGCGCTCTAATCGAGGAGGAAGATCGACCCATGCGAGGTTTCATGGCCAAGACAACTGTGAGAGGACCATCAGCATCAGCGGGGAAGGCATCAACACTGTCGGCCCCATGTGCGTGAATACCGGACAAAGCATGCCTGGCTGGGAAGTCAAACATTCAACGCACCTACGTAGAATGCATAGGCTTCTGTATCTGCTGCGGTGTCAATTAAGCTCCTCCCGTTCCTCTGAGAATATCAGCTCAGAGCACACAATTCATGAGAGTCTCACACCAATTGCAATCAGAGTGAAGTACTTGTGACACGGGTGCGATCTGGGTTGGGTCTTCCCCTCACACAGACACAGCCCCATAAACTATCTATGAATACCGCCCATAACCGGAAGGATCATTCTTGAGGGGCAGAGGATGAGGAACTTGGCATTGTGCTCAGCGGTGGCGACCGATGTTGTGAAACCGAACGGACTTCAAGTTGAGTAGTAGCCTGGCGCGCCAGGAACAATCGTATGCTTCACTATTTCGAAATGAGCAGATACAACAAGGCAGGAAGGTTAGCCCATCTACATTGAGGCAGAGACCGCATTGCATAAATCTTGGTCGAGGTTGAGCCTGAATTCAGCGCACGATTCGAAGAGCAAAGCTGCATCAAGCCCCTAAACGTGGGTTAGGGCTTATACTTTACAGGGGAGCCAGTGGCGAGGTATTGTGGCCCAAAAATGTCGTCTACTAAATATGCGCCTACACAGGCCTACACCCATGAGCCGGTTGTGATAGCATATCCTAAGATGTTCAGTACACATTGTCGCGCAAAGTACTCATAGCAGAAATGCTCGAACAGAGTAGAGACGTAGTTCAATCTTCCCCTTGCGCCTCCCGTTCGAAGGTCGATGCGGTCCACCCATAGCATCGCTTAAGGCGAGCACCGACCCTTGGGAGTAAAATATATATCAAGTTGTGAACTGAAATGCGCGATAGCGATACTCACCATTTAATCATTTTGGGGGTCATTATGGAGTCCGGATGAGGCTTAGGTGGTAACATTGTCAACTTGAGGGTTTGGGGTAAGAAGTGCTTCAATAAAGCTGGCTTACCCTGTGGAAACTGATCGGACGAGCTGTTCGAGCAGGAGGATCAAAACGAACGGATGATCCCGCCGTTTGATAGACATCGAAGCCAACACTATAGGAGGGATCAAGATGTGTCCACGAATAGAAATGGAGATCGCCTCCTACCGTTTCATAGCCTGACAGAAATAAAAGAGTTGGAGATCGTGGTGTTATCAAATATCATACTGACAAACTCACCCTCTCAAAGTCTCCCCAACGAATTTGGCCCTTCTGCTGAGAAGCGTCGACGGACGCAGTATCTTCGTCAACCTCGAGTATCCTGTGGAAAATCTACGAGAGAAAAAAAATTAGGAGACCACGGATGAGTGAGATCACTCTTTGAGCGAACCTTCATGATTTTCTTCCCGAGCGTCCACCTCGGAGGAAGGAAGTCCGGTAAATTCTCCATACGATCCTCCACCAACTCAGGCTCAACCACAGCAGGAGCCTCCGCCTCGGTCGTGGCCTTTCGGGTCTTGACCTTTGTCTTGGGCCCATCGCCTTGGGCCTCGGAAGCATAGGCGTGGCCAGATTTGGCCGTAGACTCAGTGGGAGTTGCAACTGGGATGGTCTCTACGTAGGGTCGCGACCTTGGTGGTGCGGGTGTCGTCGCGGGCAAAAGTTTGACCTCGCCTCTAGTAGGATCAAGATCAGGGAAGAACCACTTCGAAAACTTCAACCTATCACTGCTCTGAGGATCAAACAGTCCAAGTCGCTTCGCGATCGCCCCGGGAGCATCTGGCTTATCCATCGACTGTGCCAGGCGCCACATGAAAGTATCCCACTCGAGCCACATATGGTCGCACGTGAGGTTAAACATTTCTGGGGGAACTCTCGGGTCCTGCTCCATAACAGCAAGTTGCTGAATGCTGAAGTTGTTCCAGATAGGTCTTCTCCATGTTTCCATCTGTGCGCGAGTGAGCTTAGAGACATGACCCCATGGGAGCTGATACGCTGCGCGATGATCTTGTTCATATTTCACTGCATCGGGTCTTATCCAGAAGATCTGATCCGCGAAGGCGGGCATGGACATCAACGCAGCTGGAGAGGAAGCCAAAAGTGGCATCACCCGCGACGTGAGGTTCTGTCCGAAAGCGCTTTGCCACGCGTTTGTGACGAATTCAGATACTATAGTTCGAAGGTTTTGATGGCTTTAGTCTTAGTGTCCATGAAAATAGGTGAACAATACAGAAAGGGTAGACGCACGAACTGCAAAGTCGCCCATTTCATCGAATGCTTCGGCATTGAATCTTGACGCAGATGACGGATCTTCCCTCTGGGTAATCAAAGTTGACGAAGATACGACAGGATGCTATTGCAAAGGCTCACCAAGAACTTCGCGATCCCGTCAAAGAATGCAGGTGACGCATCGTCGTCGGATACTTGCTTGACAACGAACTCATCGAAGAGGTCGTCATAACCATGCTTTCTAACATAGGCTGTGTCTATCTCTATTCTGGCCATACCGTTCGACATCTTGTAGAAGGTCAGAAATACAGTGCCCCAACGGAGATTGGGATGTACCCACCCTGTATCTTTTCAAATACTTGCGAAACTGCGGTGACCACGATATGACATGCATCATGGTGCCCATGAGTAGACCTGAGCAGATGCGATGAGGTTGAAATTCATCGGCCACAAGACACCACCGAGTGGACTGACCTTGAAGCTCACAGAGCTCCGCGAAGCAACGAACAATACGCCACATCAACTTGGCATCCTTTTGGTAGGCTCGCTCGAGAGAAGAGGCAGTGGTAATTCCCATGCGAGCTAGATCTTCGAATAGCTCAGTCGCCAGGGACCAAGCGTTATGAGCAGCCTGACATGAGGCTGAAGACTGAGCGAAGCAGGTCAAGTGCGGCATTACAGAACACTCACAGCCATAGTCATATTTCGCGTCTTGAAAGCGTCATCGGTGGTGTGAGCACGGATGTATTCTTGGGGCTTGTTGAGTATTTCAGGAGACGGAATGGTGCTCTCTGCTCTACGCTTAATATTCGCGAAGAGTACATCTGGGTTGGTGCGCCAGACTACCAGGGTATCTTTGATTTTGTCCTGTACCCCCAAAGATAAGTTTTTCCTCCCTCAGAAGATCGAGAGAATCATACATATTCAGAGATTGCAATGGCCCGCATAGTCTCGAGGTCAATATTCGGTGCTTTACAGCCTTGGAGAAGAGCCTCTACGAGGGAGTAAACGATACATTCCACGCGGAGAGAGAAGGTACAAAGATGCGCGCACCGTGTCGACGCTTTTCGTTGTAGGAGTATGATTAGCCAATTATAAGACACAACGTGCTGGCGAGAACGTACGGCGAGCCAATCACTGGAGCTCTCTCCTCGGCGTCGTCTGCTCAGATACGTAAGTGTGCGGCATGACCGTCAACAGCAATCAACTCACTTTGGGGCAGGCTTGGTACGCTCTGGGGAGACCAACTCGTGCGTCGAAGTGTATAGGTGATACATTTTCATGGCTTCGTCGCTGACACCTGCAGCGCGTGAGTTTCACTGAACCGCAAAAAAGTAGGCGAAGACAAACCTAGTTCTTCCTACCGGACAAAGTTTGAATCCTAGATATCAGAGTATAGAAACCAGGAGAAAAGCATTCTTTTCACACACCGCAGCTGAATAGAATAAAAACGCGTTTCCAGTCGGCTTGCCGACCCTTTTGACGTGAGGCAGACGACACTCTCGAAGTATACGGTGTCCCTCTACAGGGCCGTACTTTTTGAGAACCCTACTCGCACATCAGGAGAATTTCAGTGAATTTTCGGGAGACTATGACCCACCAAGTTTCGAAACCTTGTCTCCCTTCGGAGCTGCGACAATACTTCACGGCGTTTGCAAGCCACTCAGCAACAAAGGGGCTAGTGCCCCAACGCTTTGCTCTCTGAGCGTGGATTGAAGACATCTCCGGGGTGATATTTTGTAGAGTATAGTTTATGCGTGAGTTAGGAGGTGCGAATGGATGGGCTGAGGGTTCGCGATAGAAGTTCGATGTCGACGGAGACGCGAGTGAAGAAAGTGAACATCTCCGCGACGCGGTAAGGCGGCGAACACCGCTCAAAATAGAAGCGGAGAATGAAACGATCCCCAGGTGGCAATGGTATTGTGGCCCACTTCGCCTCGCGCATATGTTACGCAAATTCGTTGGTCACTGAAGCTCTTACAATGAGGCAACGATGACAAGCCCATAAATAGACAACCACAAAGATGAAGACATTAATTCTATATAAGGTCGCCCACCGCATTCACAGAGACAAAACAATATCCTTCAGCCTCCCGAAGTTCGGAGTTCCAAGTCCCGTCACGGGGTCATAACCCTTCGTAGCCTAGAGGTCAAAAATACACACATCAACAACTCATCCACTGCCGGACATTTCACGAGTAAGATTACTCACATTGAACCCTCTAGTTCCACAGCCTGCATTATGACCATGAACCACGTCATTGAATCCTCCCTGACCTTCCACGAGTCCATCTACACCCTTGGTATACAACATCGGGTTTAAGAACCCAAGAGGTCCTAACCCAGCATTCAGTCGAGCGTCATTAAGCATAGAAACGAATGCTGCAAAAACGGGAGCGGAGGCGGAGGTGCCGCCAATGAGTGCTGGTAATGACTGAAAGATTATTTGGAAGTTGTCGCCTTGGGCAGACACGTCTGGAATGGCCTGTCGTAAAGAGAATTAATATAACAGTATGTGGAAAGAGGGACTGTTAAGACGCACGCGACCAGCACTAAAAATATGGATACCGTCAGTCGTAACTTGGCAGCGATGTGACCGAGGAACGTACGGATTATACAGCCCAGAGTATGCGCCCTCAGGAATAGTTTCCATATACGCTCCGACCTTCTCGTTTTGATAGGAAGGCCTGGGAAACTGGACCATGCACGAAATATCAGTGGCTGTCCTGACCAATCCCATAAACACGGCGTACGTAGTCGGAAAAGCCTCCTCCAGAAAAGAACCTTGAGACCGCCACCTCCGGCTCAACGTGATGCGTGGCGCCTACGGATGTGACACTGAATAGACCAATTACCGTCAGAGCTTCGCATGAAGTAACATATACCGAAGAACAGACGTACAAAGGACAACTTGCAGGGAAGACCGGAATGAAACGCGTTCGATTCGTTCCGTCGTTCGTCATGCTGGAAACATGGACCGGCATACACTTAGCACTTCTTGTGAATTCGTCACTGCTAAAAAGGTGGCCCACCATGTTTGCTTGTCAGGATTCGAGACCCCATCTCCAACGCCGTAGTCTCCAGAGCTGAAGATGAGCGATACGCCTCGGGCACCTAGTTGAGCAAAACCATTGCAAATATGTTTTGCATAACTCTCGGGGACTGTTTGCTCGCTGCACGATAGTTCGGATTATTAGCCTAAGAAAGGAACTATTCAGACAGAAAGACGTACTCGTCACCATACGAAGTCGAGATAACCTGGGGCGGGTCAGGAAGGTTGAGAACATAGTCCATCCACTCGCTGTAAGGCTCATTCGTGTTGCTCGGCGTATGCTCGCTGGAAAAGAATTGAGAGGGAAGTCCACCAGTGGAGTAAAACGTCTGCGGGGTGGGGTATGAGATACCGAATGCAAACTGAGTATCAAGATCAGCCTCAGCGCCTGCATCCTCAAGCGTCTGCTTATTGTCACCGCCTATATCAAAGCGATGAACGTTAGTGAACGAGTGGAGCGTATTCATAGAGAAATCACACCATTGACGAGCACAACGTCGATGTTTTCCTCCGACCCGACTGCATCCATCCTCTGCTCCTGGTAGAAAGTCCTCAGATCACCAAGGTTGAAGCTCTGGTTCGCGTACCCTGTGATACCGATTTTATTTCCGTTCGTCGCAGTCGGAACATATCCAGTCGCATTGTACAACTCTTTTAGACAGCCCACAGTCACAATGGCGTTGCAATCCGCCTTCTCGGTAGACGACGCTAGCGCCTCAAGAGATGCGGCGTCGAAGACGTTCTCCATGATGCTGATATGAGAGCGTTGGAGCCTGGTACGGGAGAAGATGGTTGTCGGTTGAATTAGGGTGACGTGACGGTGGAGAGCGGCCGGGAGACTGTAGGAGGTTGTCCGGATGAGAACGTCGCCGTCTTCGGAATGTTGCCACACGTGGTATTTCTGTAAAACGCGTCCAGACATCTCAGAGGAAAGACGACTACGAAGAAAGACGGTAACGCACTGTATTCAACATCTTCTCGGCCAATCCTACAGGTATTTCGATCCTAACCACATCCTTCGCATCCGAATATCGTGCCTTGTCCTTCGCCACACCATGCCCCAAAAGCCACATCGCCACCTCGTCGACACTCTCTGGAAGGGGTGCGACCAGCGCATCCACATCCTCCTTCGAAAGATGATTTCCGTAGCGCTCGTGAGATGGTTCACTGACTTCTAATAGATGTCTTTCCAGTAGAGGAAAGTTGGGTTGAGGTAGAGCGATGCGGAGGGAAAGAATGTGGTCCGACGGGGCAGGGCCTAGTTTGACCCAGCTTCGAGGTGAAAGAATAGACTCTTTGATGATATGCGGTGGCTCGTCCATGATGCCCGCATCAACGGACCAAGGTGCGGCTGACGCGACGGACGCGAGAGAAAGAATGGAGGGAACGACAAGCAACATGGTGGGGAGTGATAACGGTACGATAAACTGTACTCGCGAGCTTTATATCGGGATGCTGGCTGTTAGCAGAGCGGGCGCAGTTCAGCACGCACCCGAAACATCCCAAGAACTGGCAGGTGAGACCTCAGGCCTCAGACCAAAATGCCTGAGACAGCGTGGCGCAGCGAGCGAAGAACATACTCATGTTTTGAAAGCAACCGACCCAGCGGTAAACGATTATCAATAAGACACCATGAGTCGTTTCTCGATTCCTAGTCATTTGTTACGGAGCTCTCTGCGCGATTGTTGGCGAACAAGCACTGGCCTGAACAGAAGGCTAAGACCTTAGATTGTGCATAATGTAGGCAGGGCCAGAGATGTGGATGTTCAGAAAGCCAGACTACTTCGGTACAGCGAATTCGCTGTCACCGTCGACATCGAGGTTCGAGTTCAAGCTTGATGAGGGCGTCAGCATGACTAAGTGCGGGGTTATCCAACGTGTCCACGCCACACTGGGTAGCCACATAGTCACTGCGTTGAACTCATTCCCTGTTACCGGCTTGTTCTATCAACGACGTTCTGCAATGGCTCCCAAGAGGCGCAAGGTCTCTGACCTCACTGAAGACGATGCCCAATCCTTCATTTAAACCGTTAACCAGTTTATGTCTCGACTGGATCCCGACGACGAGGAGACTACTGGCATGATCCGTGATCTTGAGAGGATGTGCACGAAACTGGAAAGAAAGACGGTGCGTCATTACCATCATTTCAGGTATACCTCGATTGACTGGGATGCATATAGCACATCTAGTCTTCCAACAGTACTTTTATTCATCTCCTGGAGGCGCAGATTTCTCCTAAGGGCCTCGAGTGGAAGCAAGACGGGCAGGCTCCGAGTCGTGCGCGCGAACAGGGCATGCTGGAAGCCCCGAATGGCTTTTTGACACTCGAGTCCACTAGGGCTCTTACATCTCTGATCCTTGAGCATGTGTCTCAGTCCGTGCATTCATCCCCTTGCGCGTACAATAGTGTATACTGATTAAAAATCTACCCATTAGACGGAGGCAGGGTGCAGGATGTTGATCGATGTTATTTTGCTCCATTTGGCTGCTGCGGTCAGCGACGAAAACGAGGCGGTCAGCATCGTACCCGAATACGCTATCCTCAAGACCGTCTTCAACGAAAAGCATTCCTTTGGTGGAGTTGTAGACTATCTGGTCACGAAGCTGCCATCCGCTTTTACACGTATGGCATTCGTTTTTCCCGCTAATTAATCCGTTCTTCTGACCCCCACAATAGGTCAGATCCTGGGTCAGCCTGTGGCAACGCTCAATAGGCCTGACCTCAAGCACATCGGCACCTCAAACGTCTTTGAGGCGAAGAACCTTGTCGAGATGTACTAATATATGCCTCAAGTTATTCTCGCTGCCGCCGCGATGTGTCGACGTAATGAGTAAGTATCTTCGATGTTACCATCGCCCCAAGACTTTCCATTTTTTTCTGCTATGCCCCCATAACTCTTCATCTGAACCTAGCTATATTCTTCTTTCGCAGTCATGATTACACCAGAGGCGCGATTGCCAACGGTAAAACCTGGCTTTTCTTCATTTATCGAAAACTTCAAGTCGGTGGAACCTACGCCGCCAGTCCCCCAGTTGAGCTTAGCACAGGAGCGGAGAACCTTCTACTTATTCTCGGCTTGCTTCGTGACTGGGTACGTGGGTCTACCGCCCGATTCTTGTCGAGAGATGAAAGCATGACTAAAATTTATCAGATCCTCAACGCATCGCGCCCCGAGATCGCCTATTTTGATGAAGTTTAGAACTGTCCACTGTTTCCGTTCTCTCGTAGAGCAGGATTCTCAGATGTGTTCTCTAATTCCGGGACGACTTGAGGTCTGCAACGGAGACTATCTAATTCCATAATCGTCAGTATCGACGAGGATGACTGAGCGCCAGGCTACTCAACGTCGCCACATTGGTTAGCCACGTAGTTAAAACACTCCCTGCAGAGTGAGGTATATGGCTGTTAAAATTTCGTTGGATGGACAGTAAAATCTATAGTGATCAACTGTATCATCCCCTCCATTCAAGGTCCTCATCAGAAGTCCGAGCACCTTTCTTCAACCTCCATCGTAGATGCTCCCATCGATGTATCTTCCCATCCTCGCCGATTTTTATCTCGTCTGGCGGCACATCCGAAACTCTCTCGAAGTACTTTTCCCGCTGGCCTTCCTTCATATTCTCTACCACACGATTCGCATATGTATATCCCACTTCACTATTACAACGCTCCACCCTTCTTCGCAGAGGGGAAGGTATATGCCAATCATGATCCTCAAGCACATAACGAACAGAGCGAATGTCACCGAAGCCAGAAACCGCGTCTACCCAGTCCTCGTTGGACGCATCGGAGGGTTTGAGACCAGCGGAGCCGAAGTCGATGAGAACAGGATGGTCGGGATCGTCCCGGCGAACGAGTATGTTTCGACGAGCGATGTCGCCGTGAATGATTCTGAGATTACGAACGCGTCGTATTGTGTCTATGATCGCCAGTGAGACCCGCTCGGCGTCATCCGGTGTGATGGACTTCCCAACTTCGAGTTTGTCGATAGCAACGCCGTCGATGTATTCGAGTACGAGTCCATTGACGGTCGCCATGATCGGATCCATGTAGAGAGAGGTATCGGTGGGTGCGTATTGGCATGTCCCGTAAAGGCGAGGTATACGGGTACCCTGAAGGGACGACAGGGCCCTGTATGCGGAGACTTCTTTATTGTATGTCGCCAAAATATTATCCCACTGCTCCATCTCTCTGTACCAGTCGCCATTTTCACTATCAAGCAGATCCTCCGGAATAGGTTGGGTGACGTCGGCCGTGATGGGTCCCAAATAAGACCAGTAATTGGGCCATTGCCCGTTGCGGACATTTGTGAGACCAGTGATGAAGGACTGATGCGTGGCTGGAGTCCAAGGAGTTGTCCTGCCAAGGTCAGGTTGGCTACCTGGCTCCGTAAAACGGGGATCAACCAGTTTGAGAACCAGCCGACGAGGGAGACGAGAATGCATATCTGTCTCGACAACAAGAACTTGGCATGAGGTGAAAGGAGTGAAAGTCTTTGTCACCGAGAAGTATAGAGGGTATGAGGTACGCTGTCCTTCGGGGGTAAACTGAATTAGCAGCTGAGAGCCCGGGGCATAAGGACACGCAATCGGACGGCTTATGTCCCATCAGTATCATGGTGATAAGAAGAAAATTCATTTTACGTACTGCATGTCCTCGATTTGGCGTTGTTGTGCAGGATGAGGTGGCATTGTGGCGTTCAAGCGAGTGTATCCTGGAAACTCGCGATCCGAAGGACTCGTTGTGAGAGCCGTTGGTTGTGGAGGTGCTGAGCACAAAGGCTCTCTTGGGAGAAATGATCTTGGATGAGAGGCTGCTCTTATACGGACAAGTCTGATAGGGCGCATGGGTGGTCTCGTCGTCATTGATATCTTGCCTTACAAGTTAGGGTTTTGTCCTTTGTGTTACGTAAGTTGAAACTCCGCTAGAAGCCGGTTCCAACCGACCACGATCCGATTAAGAACAACCACCGTTTGCTCGGTTGACCTTAACAGACCTTTCTTGTCCTAATGCTTACAAATTATGTTGTCAGCTTGACCTTTAGTACCCAATTTACCCACAAGTCCCTCTCTGTCCTTCCGGAGATTACGACACTTCACTGGCAAGACTCGGAGATGCAGTGAGAACACGGGTGGCACAAGGACTGAGGTCCTAAAGAGCTTGAAAGGCGGTTCAGGGATTCTCCATTAAGCCAGATACAACGAGACAATGGATCATATCTGCGACCGTTTACATAAAACACGTTGAAACGAGAATTGGACCAATCGACGTGTCTCGTTGGGCTTGAGGTAAAAGATTTTCACTTCAGATACCGATATGGTCAAATGAATTGAACAATCTGATCTTCTTGTATGTCTGTGCTTTTACCGGACAGTACCGGCTATCCAACGTCGCCACACCGGTTAGTCACATTGTTAAAGCACATGCGCACATCCCCGCAGAGTGAGGGATATTGCTGTTAAAATTTCGTTGGACGGAAAGTAAAATCTATAGTGAGCAACTGTATCATCCCCTCCAATCAAAGTCCTCGTCGCGGGTTCGAGCACCGTTCTTCAACCTCCATCGTAGATGCTCCCATCGATGTACCTTCCCATCCTCGCCTATTCTTATCTCGTCTGGCGGTACATCTGGAACTCTATCGAAGTACTTTTCCCGCTGACCTTCCTTCATATTATCTACCACACGATTCGCATACATATATCCCACTTCACTGTGACAGCACTCCACCTCCCCCCGCCGAGGGGAAGGTATATGCCAATCATACTCCTCAAGCACATAACGAACAGAACGTATATCACCAAAACCGGAGACCGCGTGTACCCAATCCTCGTCGGACCTATCTGAGGGCTTGAGACCAGCGGAGCCGAAGTCGATGAGAACAGGATGGTCGGGATCGTCCTGGCGAACGAGTATATTTCGACGAGCGATATCGCCGTGAATGACTCTGAGATTACGAACGCGTCGTACTGTGTCTATGATCGCCAGTGAGACGCGCTCGGCAGCATCCAGTGTGATGGACTTCCCAACTTCGAGTTTGTCCATAGCTACGCCGTCGATGTATTCGAGTGCGAGTCCATTGACGGTCGCCATGATGGGATCCATGTAGAGAGAGGTGTCGGTGGGTGCGTATTGGCATGTCCCGTAAAGGCGAGGTATACGGGTACCCTGAAGGGACGACAGGGCCCTGTATGCGGAGACTTCTTTATCGTATGTCGCCAATATATTAGCCCACTGCTCCATCTCTCTGTACCAGCCACCATTTTCGCTATCGTGCAGATCCTCTGGAATAGGCCGGGTGACGTCGCCCGTGATGGGTCCCAAATAAGACCAGTAATTGGGCCATTCCCCGTTGCGAACATGTGTGAGACCAGTGATGAAAGATTGATGGGTGGCCGGAGTCCAAGGAGTTGTCCTGCCGAGGTCAGGTTCGCTACCTGGTTCCGTAAAACGGGGATCGACTAGTTTGAGAACCAGCCGACGAGGGAGACGAGGATACATATCCGTCTCAACGAGGAGAACTTGGCAGGAGGTGAAAGGAGTAAAAGCCTTGGTCACCGAGAAGTATAGAGGGTATGAGGTATGCTCTCCTTCGGGAGTAAACTGAACTAGCAGCCTTGAACCCGAGGCATAAGGACACGCAATCGGACGGCTTATGTCCCATCAGTATCATGGTGATAGGAAGAAATTTTAATTTACATACTGCATGTCCTCGATTTGGCGTTGTTGTGCAGGATGAGGTGGCATTGTAGCGCTCGAGCGAGTGTATCCTGAAAATTCGCGATACAAAGGACTAGTTTGGAGAGCCGTTGATTGTGGGGGTGCTGAACACAAAGACTCTCTTGGGAGAAATGATCTTGGACGAGAGGATGTTCTTATACGGACAAGTCTGATAGGGCGCATTGGGTGGTCTCGTCGTCATTGATATCTTGCCTTACAAGTTAGGGTTTTGTCCTTTGTGTTACGTAAGTTGAAACTCCGCTAGAAGCCGGTTCCAACCGACCACGATCCGATTAAGAACAACCACCGTTTGCTCGGTTGACCTTAACAGACCTTTCTTGTCCTAATGCTTACAAATTATGTTGTCAGCTTGACCTTTAGTACCCAATTTACCCACAAGTCCCTCTCTATCCTTCCGAGAGATTACGGCACTTCACTGGCAAGAGATGCAGTCAGAACACGGGTGGCACAAGGACTCAAGTCCTAAAGACTCGGAGCTTGAAAGGCGGTTCAAGGATGCTCCATTAAGCCAGACACAACGAAACAATAGATCATATCTGTGACCGTTTACGTGAAACACGTTGAAACGAGAATCGAACCAATCGGCGTGTCTCACTGGGCTTGAGGTAAAAGATTTTCAGTTCATCGGATACGGTCTAATGAGATTGAACAACCTGATCTTCTAGCATGTCTGTGCTCTTACCAGATAGTACTGCTTCTCTCCTTCCTGTCTCAGTGGCGTGGCTCCAATACTCTGTGAAACCCGGTGCGTAGCCTTGCTTGTGTTCCTATTTAAGTTGTAACAAGAGGCATCACGCAAAAAAAAACCCTTATGCCGAGAGAAATGTATTATACCATTTTGATCTACAAATGTCTGGAGAGAGGATCCCATTTCTTATTCTCCATCTCAAGGCCGGATTTAGTAGCTTGCCCTTGTCAGAAGTGGGCCCCTCGGGTACGGTGGCGTATACACTTCCCTTATGCCCCACATTTACAGTCGGACAGGCATCTTGCGAACCTCGGCTTGATTTGTAACCATTGATCCTTATGGAGCTGCCTCTGCTTCTGCCCTGATGAAAGCCCCTCCGTAGGTGATGGCACCGGATCTTCGTCGAGGTGGCTTATTCTCAGCCATGCGCCACGACAGGATAACGGGTGAACGAGAGGATCAGGCATAATGCATTATCTCCTTGTTCTCGTTGTGTACCAAAACAACCCTTCCCTTACGAGACAATGAAATGTCCAGGGTATATAACGCCCAACATCCAGAACCCAAATGGTCAGCATCTCCACTCTCGACTATCTATTTCATTCATCACAGCACACCTCTTCTACTCAACATGGCCCAGAGGCTTTCAAAGGTCCGTCAGAATGACGGACATCTAATTTATGCTACGCCCACAGCTGACCATTCTCTCCAGGATTTCATCAAGGCCAGCAGGGCATACATGAATGTGTTCAGCACTCGATCATTCCCGAATATCAAAGAGGAGTTCCAGGCAGCGCAAAAGCAGCCAGGGAAATTCGAACGTCTGCATAGCGATAAAAAATCTGCGACCGGAGGCCACTGCACCGTTTGGATCAGGTATCTTCGCCCTCCTACCAAACCCCAGGCGGGAGTAGAGACGAACCCCTACTTCGAAGCACACATTGTCATCGCTGCGGGAGATGAGTACACAGGTGACACTAAGAACAAGCAGTTTGAGAAGATGCAGGTCGCCCTGCCCGCCTCCATAGTAACTGCGTTGGGGAACAACGACGGCCCAGCGATAGCTGAAGCCTTCAAGGACACCATCTTGAAGGAATGGGAGGTCAGCACCTTTTTATGAGCTATCTTGCTGCGATATACTGACGTCGTGACCAATGCATCTCTTGACAGTCGGGTTCCAACGAGACCGTCTCCCAGTGAAGGCTTGCCCCGCATTCATGAACTTTTGCCCCCCCTCGGGTCCGAAGTATTCCGTTCCGTGATTCTTGTCTATGTCTTCCTTGTACGATATTTTCAGCGGTGTTCGCAATTCCCGTAGGTTAACAATGGCATCCCCACTCTATGCAATAACCCTCATGAGTGTTTGTGACGGATGAGGCGCAAGCCCACCGTTGGCCTTGTGAGTTAGTCACTCTTCGAGAGTGTATGAGGCAGTAAGGGAAGCACGGTGCAGGGTAAACGTCAAGAAGACTATTATTGTATTTGTCAACCGAGTCATTAAACTCGGGGGAGGTGGCGATTGCGTCAGTGCAGACGTGTCACTGCGTTTAGGACGTCAGTGCAAGAGCGAGTCAGCGCACAAGGGTGTGCATTACACATGTACAGCCTGTCTCGCAGGTCTCTAGGATATTTTTGTGCGTCGAGGCTCGTAAGCATTGATGAAAGGCAATCTGTACATTTTTTATCATAAAATTAATACCCGTACCCTGGCATACACAGAGCAGCGGTTGGAGTATCCCGTATTGCGACACACTGCATAGTCGGGAACACGGGGAAGTGTCCCCAAATCTGTAGTACAAATGCTTGTCGCAGGCAGTGGGCTATATAGGTACCTGAAGTTCATCATCGTGAGTACAGGTGCGCTTCATTCTTCTATGACGGGCAGGGCGATTTACATTTAAGAACGCTGCACTTTACTTGGTTTTACAACACATAAATCTTTGCTACACCTCAGCCTTGCGTCCCGTACTTCGCCGGCAAAGACAGAGTCGCAACCTCGATTTTCGTCCCCAGTCCTCTCCACCCGGTTCCAGCGCCTTGTACCTGGGAGACCTGGGAAGGCATTCCCGAAAGGACTTTCCCGATGAAGTTCGGGTCGGTCATGGGTGTTAGGTCGTCGCGTTTTGGGAGTTGCTGTACAATGATCCAAAGGTCAGGAAAGACACCCATAGAACAAGGTAAAGTCGTCGGGAGAATGAAAGATGAACATACGCGTTTTACGCGCTCGTAAGGAGCTTCCCAGCCTGATGTTTCGCGTACGACGAGAGGTGGCGATGAGGCGAAAGAGTGATAGAATCGCGTGTCGAACGTGCGGAAGAGAACGTTATCGACGCGCAGGATGAAGCGGGAGAGGATGAAGATACATGTTGGCATTACACGCTGTGCACTCATCGTTAGCACCACGCCACATAACATGAAGTGGCGGACATGCTCACGATTCTGACGAGTAGATGTGAGGCGCCGTTATCGTGCAGTTCATCCTCAAACAGAGGAATCTCAGCGTAGAAAAGGATAGGGTCGGGTCGAGTAAGCTCAGCGATGGGAATAGCATGAGAGGGATTGGCCTCGTCGCCTTTTACCCATTCAACCTTTGTACTACTCGAGTCCGAAGGAGTGTGGCCCGAATATATCGTGGTGTAGGTCCAGTCGTATGGTTTTGTCGGAGATGTTTCAGGCATCGGAATTTGGGAGTCTGGTCCAGTTCTATAAGCAGGAAAAGACGTATGTTATAATCAAGGAACCACTCATGGATCGACATGGCAAGGCGAACCTACCGACTCTGCAGCCACTTGTCCGCATACCCAACCTTCACGCCTCCATCCCCGTCAACTAATTCCCCGTTCTTGACACCCCTCAACGCCACATCTGTAGCCCAAATGTATTTCCAACCCCCTTCCCCAGTTTCTTCATTTCCTCCGAACACCAGTTCGAGTGAATTCTCGCCGAACGTCATTTCCGGGAGCGGGAATCCGAGACTGGCCTGTAGAGCATCACAAGATGAGGCATTCGAGATTGGATTTGTGGTAGCAGTGATTTTCCAGTTAGATACATTGATAGTGCGTGAATTGGGAGACTCGGAGAGGGTGTGCTTGGGAACGGGGACGGCAGTGGCCATGAGCACTGAGTGGACTTGGCTCCAGGGAGGTTGATGAGGAGCTGGAGGAGGACTCTCGGAGATGTTGGCAAGACTGTTGTCTGATTCCGCCAGTTTGAGGACTTGAGTGAGGTCAAAGAGTGCAGGATGAAGGAATCAAGAGTAGGAAGATTGTAAACGGAAGTAAACGAGTTGTTGAGCTCGAAGCGTTACTTACAGTTCGATTTCAATGTCCGAAAGCGCTCTTGAGGTCTCACTACGATTGAGGTTCTAGCTAGACTACAACACTTGGTCTTTGACGCGCCTAATCCCGAGTCTAACTTCCCTTCATAAACCTCTTTTCTAGCCTTACGGTCACCACCCTCGTCAACACTTTCCTACATGATGGATGGGCCAAGTTCACGCCCAGGATCACCATCTGACGACGCACCCCCAGAAAACCTATGGTCTTCCATCCTTGATTCTGTCTCCTCAACACGCGCTATACCCTCGAAACAGATTCTTATACTTGGCCAGCCCCAGACCGGGAAGTCAACGTTGTCGGCAGCGCTGCTGCAGAAGGCTCCTGCAGATGTCGCTGGACCTGGTAATAATGAGGTGCCACAGAGCGTAGACTTTGCTCTAGGTTACGATTGGGCGGATGTTAGGGACGAGGCAGACGAAGGCGCGTTCGTTCTCTTTCGTCTCCATACGAGATTTCTGTAAACTCACATCTTCGTCGTATAATTTTGTAGATACATTGGCGCGTTTGTCAGTATACAACGTACCCTCATCAGCACCGGCATATACCTCCTTGTTACCCCACTTTCTGCCGGCACGGACTTCGTTGCCACACACACTTGTGATGATCGTGCTTGACTGGACGCGCCCATGGACCTTTGTAGATGAACTTTTCACGTGGCTGACATGGATTGAGGACTGGGTAAAGGGAGAGACCCCACGAGAGCTCGTCATCGCAAGGGAGGAGAACCGAGAACGACGTGAGTCCTGGCACGCCACACTCGCGTTTTCTCCACGGAACTGTTTTACAATAGTATCTCCAACTAATCTGTTTTCCCAAATAGTGCAAGCATATCTTCAGCATTATACCGAGCCTTCGTCAGAACCTATCCCCGCCTCCTCCGCCTCACAAGCGGCCATCCTACCCCTCGGGCCCGGAATATATACCCATAACACCGCCGGCGTGCCCATTATTGTGACATGTACGAAGTCGGATCTGATAGACGACAACCACAACGATGTCGTTGGGGCTGGAGCGTCGGGGATGGGAGGGATGGTGAAGGGCAAAGGAGGCGAGTGGGAGGAGAGGACAGATGGAGTCATGCAGATCTTGAGGACGGTTTGCCTGAAGTGTGAGATTTATTACCTTCAGTTCTTACTGCATTACGGTTTCTAGACTTATGATGTTGTAGACGGAGCTTCATTATTCTACACTACACAACAACCCTCAACACTACAGATTCTCCGACAATACGCACTCCATCTACTTTTCATTCCGCCCGCACCCTCACCAGGCCTATCCACCGGAACCGACGCCCCAGCACCCGTTCGCAACCCATTCCCTTTCACACAGAAGCCTAATACCCTAGACAGGGATCGTATCGTCGTGCCTGCTGGTTGGGATAGCTGGGGTAAGATCGCCGTTCTTCGAGAAGGGTTTGACGCGAAAGGTTGGGGCGAAGCATGGGAGAGAGATTTGGAATCTGCCAACGAGGACGAGAACGCTGTCGGCGACGACGAGGTCGGTGCAAGGAAGATGTATTCACAGCTAGTGCCGGATCAAGGCTACAAGGTATGGCTCTCTGGATTGCAGACCACGCTTAAACTGACTCATTCGTGTTGTTATTAGCCGCCTCCCCTCCCACCCTTCAACAATCCAATCCCCGAACAAACCTTCCTCGCCAAAAACTACGACGAAAACTCCAAGAAGCCAGACCGCGACCCCCGAGGCATGTTCCGCAACCCCACCGAATCCACCGCCGGCGCAAACGCAGGGATCGTCGGTCCTCTCAGCTCTTCATCCTTCTCCATGCCCAACGTCGAACGCGCTCTCACTGAGATGGAAGCATCGTCAGCGTTTACGCCAACAGGGCCAATGTCTGCTGGTGGTATCAACCTCGTTGGTCCAGATTCGCCTGGTACACCGTTAGGAAGGAAAGGTTCAGGTCGCAATCCTACGCGTGCTCCCAACGCAGGGAACGCATCCGCAGCTGGTCCTGGCGCACGTTCTGACCTCTCATCGTCGGTTATGGGTGGTTTGAGTGTAGGTGGTCGGGACAGAGATGGAGGTAGAAGTCCTCCAAGCCCGATGATGAGGGATCCGACGGGAGGTGCAGGCGCTGGAGGGTCGAGTCCTGGGTCGGGCGGACAGACGCAGCATGAGGTATTGCAGAATTTCTTCCAGAGTCTATTGAGCTCGAAGGATAGGCCGGGGAGTGCGGCGGCGGCTAGAACGGGAGGGAAGCTTTCGACTGGGCCGAGTGGGAATACAGCGAGGGTGACTAGTGAGGACAAAGGGGGTGCAAATGGAGGAGGAAGCGGTGGTGGGAGCGGTGGAGCCGGGGCTGGGAGTAACAGGAGCAGTATGGTTGGGCCTCCTGCGAGCGGGACGGGCGGCGGGAGTGGGAGTGGGACAGAGGATGGGGCTTGAAGGTAATACTTTGGCATGATGCAGTGGTATGAGATGTGACACGATTTGGTTTCAGGTGGCGAGGTACTTCGTTGCTCATTATGGTATGAATTTGGAAGGAGCTTTATTCGTGGTTGCCAACCTAGACATGATCTTTCTTAAACAGTCATTTTTGGTGGCCCTGAGGCTCACTATACAAAGAAGGCGGCGAAGTTGTTGGCGTCCTACTGCTGGCTCTACGTTCACGCCGCACCTTCTGCGCCTATCTCTATAAGCAGCTCTGAGGAGCTCAGTAGCCCTCTTGTCACTAACCTACACTCAACGCTTTCCCCTCTGCGTTGAAAATTTGTTTCCAAAAGTATCGAACGGAGCTATACGTAAAAAGCAAGATGAAACTCCTCCCTGCATGCTCGCAAACACGCCTGCTTTTGCGGCCACGAGAAATCGGAGACCCACGGCATGACGGCGACGAGGAAAGAGAGTGGGTACAAAGAGTAAACCCGGAACATCTTATACCATACAAACACACGATACATATATGCTGACATAGCGCAATGGAAAACCCAGTACATCGAAGGCGACAGGAGCGACCGTTGCATGATACAAGGGAACCAAAAGTCAAAACCATAGTCCATGAGATCCACCAAAAAAGTAAGAGGCTCAGAACGAGATTACCCGGGAACAACACAACCCCATACCCTCAACGGTATATTCAATTCGCCACCGTGGCCCACTTCACACTGCTCCAGATCCGACCACTCTTCCACGAGCTTTTCAGCGACGGCATGGTCGTTGGCCGCAAGGACAAAATGCCAACAACGGTCCTTTCGAACGTCCGGCTTGAGGTTATCCTATATCTTTCGAAGTCCATCGACCGGACTCTTGTGCTCGCCTGCGATTGTCGCCTGAACTGCATAGATGTTCCCCTTGATATCGCCGAGAACACCGTCAATGCCGGGAAAGTCGATCACTGACGGGATCCAGTAGAAGGACTCGAGGGCACCTGAATGCTTAAGACCAGAGACCGTCCCGGCAAGAAGATGAGACGATGGGACCATGTTCTGCGTCGTGAGGTCGTCTCGGAAGATGGTGAGCGCCCCCTTAGCACCGCACAGGTGGTGATGCACGCGGATTTCGTGGGCCCAGCCAGCGGCGCTTTTCGTTAGGGAGTGCATGCTGATATTCTCGTAGAGCTCCAAGGACGCGTCGTTCGATATCTTGGCGCGAGATGTCTCGACTAGCTCGGCGGGGAATGTTGTCGGGATAAAATACTTACAGGCATCAGACGACTCGATATCGTCGTTCTCCTTATATTGGCGGTAAGGGCGAACGAAGACGAGGGAGCTCGGGATAGACCCGTGGTATGATAGCGTGGGGATCGGGTTTGTGCAAATGATGCGTGCGGCTGTCTTCGCGTGACCTTCGAGGGATAGTGGAGTCGTATGTCCGTTGGCCAGGTCTATGATGGTTCGAACCGAGGGTCCCCACTTATCAACCATTTCCAGAGTGGAGGACGGGTCAAGATTGGACTCTTTCCTGTATGTGAATCCTCGTGAGCAGGAAAGATATCTCAAGCGCTGTGGGCAGCTCCGAGACGACGTGCATACCCTGCTTCTGCGTCAACCATCTCTTCCATCTGAAGGACTGAAGTGAGGACGCTTGTACGACACGCTTGGCGCGACTCAGAAAGGGTGCACATGGCTGGATGACCTGGGTATTACTATCGGACAAAGCCCAGCATTTCTCGAGTCGCGGGTCGAGAAGATTGGCCTCAATGTATGTGGCGCCTTGGTCATCGAATATGAAGTAAAACATGGGATCAAGTTGAATTGCCGTTGGAAGACCGTGCTGAAGACGATGCAGAAGAAGGTAGAAAAGAAAGGTGGTCTTCCCTAAACAAAAAAAATCAGGAATAGCTACGGAACAAAAACAGCCTGACGAACCAATTCCTGGATGGCCTGTGATCACGAATGCGGGGCTATCACTGTTCTCCATCATCCTGCAAAGTAAGTGATAACAGAACCAAAAAAAACCTTCACCATATAGAGACAATGTGATCTCAAGAATTGTGGTGTGCCCTCTGTAGGTCCCAAATGGACGATGCGATGGGCCAGTCCCGAGAGCGACTAATGCCATCTCTTACGGCCTCCGATCCCCTCCTGCTGGTCAAAGAAACGTCTTTCGCAAATACGTCTTCAGACAGTGGCCAACGATTGCGGGGCTCAAGAATACCATGCACAGCGAACCCCCCACCGGGGCATGAGTTACAAGAAACTCACCAGAGAAAATTTGCTCGCTCAGCGGCACTTAGGACAGTGACGCACAAGCGTCAGTCCCACCTTCTGTGAAAGTGCTGACTTCTGCACTAACCATGCGAATTGCATGTTGTCGGGCGGGTGACCCAGATGTGGATGGCATCATTCCGGGGTTGTTCATGCCAATATTCCGAAAGAGTCTTGTAGCTTTTGAGTTCGACAGGCCGTTGCCAGTCATGTTGATTCTTCACCCGATCGAAAAGCGTTTCTGGTGGCTCGAATTGCACAGGCTCGTTGAGCTATTGAGACATTTGGTGTTAGTCTAGGAAACACTGCTTTGTTTACAAATAAGACCAAGGAGGCACCTTCTAAACGCTCAGAAAAGGAGAACCAATATCCTTCAGGAGGAACTTTTCATGAATTCTTTCTTTCAAGTCGTCCACGAAGCAATCTGAAGGTAGTATGAATCGGGTGGACACTTCGTCCATGATAGCCCAGAGCGTGAGTAAAGATGAATCCATGGTGGGCGTGCGCGAAGAGGCAGTAGACAGAAAACATAGAGACAAGGTATTTTTGACCAACTACCGTGCTACAATATTGCAACGATTTGGCCGCTTCGGGTGGCGAGAGGAGAAGTCCCGGAAATTGCCGTGTTATTGTCACTTAGCGCCGCTTGATGGTCATCCTTCCGAGCTCACCACGACTTTCCCGACCTTAGGTTCTCCTGTTCACCTACAGCCTTCTCCATTGTCAACGACCACGTCGACGAAAAAGCATCAATCACAATGGGAAAATGGTCTGTCACTTTCGCGCAGAGTCAATCTGAGAGCAGTCGCTAGATATTTCGACGTCACTTCGCGTCAATTGGAACAGGACCACAGAGTACTATGACGATGTCCTTGCTGGAAAGATCAAAAGCCTAGTGTGCGTGGTTTTCTTCTATTATTTGTGGGTGCTATATTTACGAAGTGGGATGGTCAGGGAAGGTGCCGTGAAGCGCTCACGACTTGAGTTGGGTCCTTCGTCTAGTTCGGCGTCTGAGACTCCGTCTATGACCTACGAAGCATTCGTCGAGGACCTAGATCCTGGCGATTCATTTACGACTACGCTCGTTGAGACTCTAGTGAAGGCGAGTTTGGCCTTCTGGATTTGATGCTTCAGCCTGCTGGAACAAACCATATTCATAGGAACTCTCCAACCGCCGCATCCGAAATTCGTCATCCGAAAAGCGTCTTATTTCAGACCCTACTGCCAAATCACTTCGTCAAATGGCTATGCCGTCTCGTGTATATAGGCCTGCGTCCAGCGCATCGTCGTCGTCTTCGTCTTCATTAGGCTCGACCCCTCAGCCACCATCACGCACCTTCAATCCCTACTCGATCAGCTCTCTCCGTTCCGCACACGCAAGCTCCCATTCTCATGGTCTGCTTCGTTCCTTTGGAATACAGGGGCCACAGTCGCCGGGTGTTGAAGCTCATGCGCAAGACCCGCCATCAGGTTCATCCAATACCCACTCGTACTCCACGGCACCGCTCCAACGAAGCTGGTTGGGAAATGGAGCTACAAGGAGCAGGTTGCGACTAGCAGATTATCTGACGGTACCACCGGACGAGATGGAAGTCGATCCTGGAACCGAAGTCGTGGCAATTGGGGAATCGGGGAGAGAAGTAGAGATCTCACGCCGTGACGATCTCGAGAGGTTGGCGGGCCTAGGTGAGATGCACTTCAGAGGGCGTGTTAGGCGCGAACCGAACAGCCCGGTCACTCGTCGTTCTGGTTCAATGCCACCATTGGCCGATCCTTTGGAAGGAGATGATGACCACGACGGTGATACGGAAGTCGATATTGACGGCCTTCTAGATCATGCCGGAGTCAGTGGTGGGGTGATGGAGGGTGTGAGAGTTGAGAACGAGGCTCTATTCGATGCGTTGACTGGTGGCGGCAATGCTTCCAACTATCCTTGGCGTACGTCTCCCGCCTGCGCTCCGTCTTGGTCGCGTGCTCATTTTGTTTCGCCACAGACGAACCCGCTTCACCGCCAGGGTTCCACTCCTCACCCCCCGAACTCGTCGACATACCCAGCACAGTCAGCAGGTCAGATGCACAGTCGACACCTCACTCCAACGCCCGTTCTCGCACGTCCGACTTCAACGACTTTACCAGTCGACGTCGTATCTCCACTCGTGAGCGCGAAGGCAGTGAACCAGCCTCTACGTCTGAAGCCAGTCGATTAGTTCCAATTGTAGCCTCTCGCTCTACCCCCGGTAGCCGGTTTGGGAGCACTGGCCTGCGCTTCAGTTCCGCACCTGGCATTCGGGCGCGTTCGTCGTGGCGGACCGAACGAGACGACGATGCGAGCTCAATCAATCGCAGCCCAACTAGCCCGGGCTCGTCACGCCCTATGCCTAGACGTAGGTTAGAGCATCTACCACCCAGGAGGTCGACGCTCCCGACTCCTGATTCAAGCAGCCCGCCATGGGGTGCTGCTACTTACTTTTTGCCACCCCCTCTCCCGTCTACCACTGGTCCTGCAATGCCGATGGCTTCAACAGCGGGTGACGAAGTCCTTGCGCCACGTGTGGCGCCAGCGACCATATCGAGGGCTCTTCAAGCACAGTTCGAGCAAAGAAGGGAAAGGAGAAGGTTAGATAACGGGATGACGACGCTTGGGATCCGAGCCTTGCGGAGAGAACAAGAGTTACGGACCTCACTTGCGGCTGGCAGTCGAGCCTCAACTTCTACTTCTGCCGCTGGTCCGAGCGTCGTGGACGAACACGGCGACGGTGCGAGTTCATCTTCGAGTGCTACTTCCACCGGCCACAGCACTTCGAACAATACGACCCAGCGCGACAGGGAGCGTTCCCATCTCTCCTGGCTTACTAACTCCCCATCTCACTCTCATACCTCAGCGTCACTCTCACTCGCGCCTCTCCCGTCATTCCACGTTCGCCCATCGTCGAATTCGTCGCCTCCGCCATTCCCTTCCTTCCCTCTCCCTGCCGTCCCTGGCTTCGCGCACTCGTCGGGACCGAACTCTTACTACTCGTACCGTCCCGGAGAAAGTCATGGCAATGACCACGGGCATAGTCCACCTCGAGGTTATACAGAATATAGGCCATTCACGGAACTCCCTCCACCTCTGGAGCCTCCGTCACCGACCGCTTCCATGTCAGAACTATACGCAGATGTGGGGGAGATCCTGTTTGGAGGGGACCGTAGTCCTGGTAGGGCGAGTACGACTGGCAATGACCATGAGAGGGTTTCAGCCGCTGGAGGCGGAAGTGGGACTGAGATGGGTGCAGCTCCGCCGAGGTTGAGGAGGGGAGGCGTTCGTCCGCCTGAGATGATCTCGGCATCGCTGGGGCAGGCTCATGCTCATCACGCGAGGGCACAGGAGGAAGTTGGTGGTACGATCGGACGGGAAGCTGCGAGAGACGGGTTTGCAGGGGAGGAGGATGAGGGTATGCGATGAGTTCGGGCTTGATTGTCAGTTCGAATAACATTGCTTCATTCTTCGACTATTTCCCCTGTTTGTTGTTCACCGAAGGATGTCCTGTTGAGGCCTTCGTCTTGGTTGGATCGATCATATGTATGTATGTGTGCAGGACTCGTGTATGATAGATCACCTTGGTTGCGTCGTCGTTTCTTGAAACACTGGAGCGAATACAACCATTGGAACTTTAATTGGGGACTATTGGGCTCAGTGATGAATAATCGATGAAAGAAGCGAGGTACAACTGATATATAACACACAAAGTACAAAACAAAAGAACAACCAGACCAAGAGAGACATTGGACGACGGGCCACGACTACTTTCGCATCCGCTTCTTGAACCGCTCCATGACCTAGAAATATAGGAACCGTGGGTGTGAGTGCTGGACAGAAGGACGAGCGGTTGAGCACACGCACCATTTCATCAGTCGCCATCTGCGGCCGGTCGTGTCTTGGTCGGTTTCCGCGGTGCGGCTCATTGTCCTCTGCGGGTGGAAGGCCCATTGCTTCCAGCTTTGCATCGCGAATGATGTCAGCGTCGGACTTCATACGCGTATTCGGTCGGAAAACTAAAGAGGTGAATCGTTAGTGAGGAGGCCATCCATGTGCGAGCATGGTGCAAACGTACATCGAGCAGCAGCAAGATGTTCTTCGTCGTCGTTCTGCCTCTTTTGACGGTCCTTACGAGCTTGTGTGAGAGCCTGCTTAGCCTTTTCTGTCTCTTCGATATTCTTCAGTCGTGTGCTGTGGATCCACCGACGCATGAGCAGGCCGCCACAAATTATGAGTTTCAGTAAGTAGAACGTACTCCATGCCAAGGTCGACCTCTGGAATCGCAGTCAGCATAGCAAGACTGTTGGTCACACTGCCCTCTTCGTTCGGCTGAGCTTTCTTCTCGACCTTGTATTTCTCGGAGAGGCGGTATAGTTCTTCTTGGGGGTCTAGGTATTTTGGTGCTGCTTCTGGGTCAGGCGTGGATGAGTTTTGGGCATGTCGAAGCTTCATGTTCTCTTCGATGTAGGCCATCCTGGGCGTGTCGCGAGGTAAATGTCAGGAAGGCATAAATTTGAGAAAGATATTGGAATGTGGCGCACATATGTTTGTCGACATCGAGAGCATTCGTCTGTTGTGTGAAGTTATTCGTACGAACGGCCCTACGAGCTTTCGCATCCTTGTCTTCCATTCTGTAACACATCAGCCTCGTCTACCCCTCTGATATGAAGAGTATGAACAACTCACTCATCATCCTCGTCTTCTTCTCTACCCTTCCCTGTCCCCATCTTCAACCCATACTGCTCCTCTTCTCCCTCTCCCTCCTCCACCTTCTTCTTTTTCTTCTTCTTCACCTCGGGCTTATTTAACCTAGTGACATCGATACCCTGTCTTGCCTTCCTCAACTTGCGCAGTTCGACAAGTTCGGCTACTCTGAATGGAGCTCCGAGAGCATTCTCGTCAGCCAAGAGCGCCCTCTCCTCTCAAGCCGTAGAGGCCAAAGCAGGAGTGAGGGAGAAGTGAGACATACGAAAGTTTATCTTCTTCCTCTTGTGTTGTCAGGCTGTCTTCCGCACCGGGCTCGAAGAACGTATTAGGTTCGGAGGTAGACTGTGTGGTTGTTGGTGGTGGGTCTGGAGAAACCTCGCGTACGCGGACGTTTGGACGTGTTCGTTTCTTGATCATGACAGCTAGAGTAAGCGACCGTACTCAGGTACTCGTATTTTCCAGGTTGTAAGGTTGTGGATAAGTAGAGGAGTGTAGAGAGACAAGAAAGAAGGCAGTGAAGAGGTGCTTGTTGGACTACACAAGATCCGTAGCAAGAGTTGCAATCTTTTAAACTCCGAAAGCCTGATGAGCTCGTGTGGCGTAGCGCTCCCAACTTATTTCCAAATATACTCCTCTTTCATGTCTTCATCCAAGCTTCGCGTTCTTCTTACAGTAATTTGTTTGCTCTGATCGACATGTAACATATCTTGCTGAAATATAAGAAACCCTTGCATAGAACGATGACGGTCCTCCTGGTACATATCTTCGCCTGAATCGTTTCAACAATACATTTACCATCTCGCATCGGCCATCATAGGACCCGACTCTCCATATATATACGGTCTATACAAACATCTGACCCAAGATCTCGGTGCGTTGATAATTCTGTCTTACGGCTATGCAATGCTGATCTATCCATACTCTTGCTCTCCTGAACACGCAGGGTGGAAGGTCAAAGTAGTGGTGCCCAGCTCGCAGAAGTCGTGGATAGGTTTGTGATATGCTGACTCGGTCTATCGCTCGTGACACTCAAGACTAGAAATCGTAGGCTCCGCATACCAGATTCAGGACGTCATCCACAGCCGATATTATTACCCTCGCGATCCAGGTGCGTACTTCGAATGCGACTGGACAGCAGTATCATCGAGTCTACAGTTATCTTTCCGAAGATGGAATGGGCGACGTGTCTCCCACATCCAGGCCACTCAAGGAAGGGGAAATGGCTGAATGACTCCTACTAGACGGTGTAGGTACACTCTCTAGTCTGTTTCTGGTCTTCAAAAGTAACGATGGCGCCTCAGACTCCAGCGACGTGTGCGAACATCGGTTTGCACAACTTGTATCATGGGGATATAGATCTTGTGGTACCCCATCTTTCCTCACACTTATCATACACGCTTCTCATCATGGTTCGGCTTAGTTGTCCGGCCCCAATCTAGGCGCGAACGTTTCCTGTAGGTCTACTTATCTCCGTTGTGTTTGCCACATCACACTGATCCTCTCCGATCAATCCCGAATAGCTGCCTTCTCTCTTTGCTCCGGCACAATTGGCGCCGCCCTATCTTCCTCACTTTCGAAAACCCGAGCCGTCGCCCTTTCGTATGGAAGTGTTCAACGTCCAGCACCTTCAAGTCTCTTACCATCCGCCAACGCCCTCTCTGGACGCATCGTCCAGCACCTTTGGTCCCATTGGGGATCTGACGATGGCGGAATCCGTAGCAACGAAATCGACCTTTACTGCGTGAATGTCCCCGTTATCGAGGAAATCTTGAGCGAGGAAGGATTACCGATCGCGTGGACTAGGACATGGAAGAGCTCGTATACCAGTTTGTTCAAGGCTTATAGCTCGGACGAAGATTCAGCCGCAGTGGATCATTTCACCTCAGTTGCAGGACCCGATGGGATGAGCCTCGCCTCGGACTCTGATTCAACTCATACGACTGCGACCAACAGGATCCTTCGGTCGGAAGAAAAGAAAGAATTGATATTCAAGTTCTCGCCGGAGAAGGACGAGTTCATTGACCCCAAGGCACCGGAGGTAGAGGAAGGGACCGATGTGTGGGCAATTGGGAAGGGGTATGTGTCCGTGACGCCGTTGAGAGCGAATTTTGCAGAACCACCTGCAGAAGAGATATTTGGTGGTGGTGGTGGTGGGATTGAAGGCCAGATGTGGATAATGGACAGGAATGGGCCATTGAGCGTTCGCATTACGACACAATGTAAGCCTCTAGATTGACTCTAGATCCATTCTTTGGTCTCTCGTGTACACCAGTGCTCAATAAAACCCCATCAATATTAGAGCGTATTGGCCCTGCTGTGATGTTACCGAGCCGCATGGCACTCCCATTGAGAGTGCTTGTGCGGTAACGCCGATGCTGAACCTAAACTAGTCCGAATGCGGCCGGCCGCACTTACACTCCCTTTTGACACGTCGTGCTTATGTGAGACACTTTAGTTTGGCAGTACACTGAGTGGTGTGCGTATCTTGAGCGTACCGATACGAATTCTGTTACATATGACGTTGGCGTACTTCTCAGATTCCTTTTGCGTCTCTGCAAATCATGTCTTCCCACTTCCCACTCGGCGCCTTGAACGACAGTTTGCCTGGTATTCGAGACTGGCAGGTCGATAATTCTCGTCCAGCCTTGCTGCTGCTAGCCCTCCTCCTTGTTTTAGCAGGCCCCATCTCTGCTTTCTCGCGCCGTACCAAGAACCCGCCAAAGTTTCCCGGGCCTAAAGGGCTTCCGCTAATCGGGAATGCGCACCAGCTTGGAGGGCAGAAACAATTTCTGAAGTACACCGGTAAGAACGCTATCCTGCTAGTTCATGCCCTGTCTGACCACTGATGTACTTGGAAAACGACTTCAGAATGGCACAAAACATTCGGTATGTTTCCTGCGTCTTTGTTGTATGATCCATCTAGAACATGTCCTCCAGGTCCGGTATACAGTCTCAATCTCGTAGGCCAGCATGTCGTGGTTGTTGGGACTTCCAAAGCTGCTGCTGATCTCATGGTGCGTCTATCCTCCACTTTACTCGCCCATACTCTAATCTCACGCACTATCGCAGGAGAGACGTTCTGCGATATACTCAGATCGTCCGGTGAGTACTGCACCTCAATCCTCCACGATCCTCCATTTACCCTGCACTAGCGTTTCATCATGGCCACGGAGATTCTTACGGGTGGAATGAACATGGCATTTGCTCGATGGGGTGCTCGGTGCGTGTCTCTAAATGTTCTTTTCTGCTTCAAAAAGCTGATTTGGACGTACTGTTAGCTGGAAGCGAATGCGCCGCGCTGCAAACTTCGGTCTGTCGATGCGTGCCAGTCAACAGTATATTCCTCTCCAGGAGCAAGAGGCCGTTCACCTCTTGGACGGCCTCCTACACGAGTCCGGGTCCATTGATCCCCATCTTCGCCGGTGAGTCCTAGTATGAAAGGTGCGAAAACGCGCTCTACTCACGGTTTAGCAAATTTTCAGTACAGCGGCCGCTACTGTGCTTACGTCTGTCTACGCTTACTACCCCGTCAAACTCGGTGATCCTTTGGTGCACAAGGTCGAGCAATATGTGGACAGGATGTTGAAGGCCGCTCTTCCTGGCAATTATCTCGTCGATCTCTTCCCATGGATGATGTATATCCCGAAATGGATGGCAAGCTGGAAGCGTGAAGGTTACGCGTGGTTTAAGAAAGATACCGAAATGTTCCTGGGCGTTATTGATGACGTGAAGGAAGGAATGGTATGTTTCCGGCACCCTCGAGGGAAGTGCGGTCACTGACAATATCTCTAGAAATCCGGGGAGCGCACGGATTGTCTCGTCGCCAGCCTCCTGAGTAACCCTACGCAGCATGATTTAGACACAACAGAGATTGCATGGCTTGCCGGCATGATGTTGTATGTGTATTTTGTCATCAACAATACTACTGTCGATCTAACATCGAGATGGCCTACCTCAGTGGCGCGGGAGGCGAAGCAGTAAGTATTGTATCTCGGACATCGGTAGTTCCTTGACTGACCCGTGCTACAGATGGCGGCATCACTGAGCGTCTTCGTTCTTGCTATGCTACTGTATCCCCGCGTTCAAGCTAAATTGAAGGCTGAGATCGACGAGGTGTCGTCTTCTGAACGACCTCCGACGTACGCCCTCGTCAAGGACCTTCCATACCTCAACGCGGTCATAAAGGAAACTCTGCGGTGAATAATTTCCTTCCTTCGAAACATACTCATTGTCTGACATACAATTGCGTTATCCAGCTGGAGACCTATGGGGCCTCTTGGTAAGTTCTTTTATGTCTCCTCTATTCGTCCTCGAGGTCGTCTAATGTGAATATAGCCGTCCCACATAGGTCCACTCAAGACGACGTATACGAAGGGCACTTTATACCCGGTATGACATGTTGTTATACCTAATCATCGTCTTTGACTCGTCCTGACATCGTGTTATACAGCCGGAACCCTTATTTTCCCGAATGTCTGGTAAGCTATACTCTTTCGTGTTTTTAAATCCATTGAGTCTCACTGCTTTTCTTCTGACTGGGAATAGGGCTATGCACCACGACGAGTCTGTGTACCCTAGTCCTGAAGAATTCTACCCGGAGCGGCACTTGTCCAAGGATGGTATCACTTCGGTCTCTATCCCAGAGACGAAAGAGCTGGGACATCACGGGTACGGGTTTGGTCGTCGTTCGTGTATAGGCTACACCGTTGCCAAGTGAGCACATTCATCCACTTATTCACGATGCCTGACGGATTTAATTGTCTCTGATGCTACTCGTGCAGCAACGCGCTTTTGATCAACGCTGCGAGCATCCTATGGGCGTTTGACATCAGCAAGGCGAAAGACGCCTCTGGAAAAGAGATCACACCTGATCCCAACGACATGTTAGACGAAGGGCTTGCAGTGTAAGTTCCGCACTACGTATTGCACCTTGGCATGTGGCTCATCGAATTTTAGGAGACCCTCACCCTATCAATGCAGGATCGAGCCTCGCTCGGCAGCACGCGCTGAGATCATTGAGGCTCTGAGGGCAACAGTATGATGATGGGTGACATCTACCCTTGTCCGATTTGCTTGATTCTATTTCATTTGTGAAAGAAATGTTCTGTGCTCATTGGGGATATTTCGGTTGAGCTTTTGGCTGGAGGATGCAGAGCGTTGTTCGAGTGATTGTCTGGTGGGAGTCGCTTGTGATGTTAGAATGCTGTAGTTTTAATATTATCAGAGGTATCGGCAAGCTTCTCTGTCGATCTTGTCACGATAAGTTGGTAGTTTATCGGCGAAGAAAACTGCCACTGAGGATGAAAAGGAGACTATATCATCCTCGACGAAGTTCACGGACTAGTGACTAAATGTGTACGAACGCACAATTTTTCGACTTCGTATTGCTCCTGAACACGCATTTCCGAATGCCTTATTCCCTTGGAATGCCTAACACGGTGAAGTCATGTTCTCTCTGTAGCTAATTTAAAGACGATGTACGACATTACAAGTCAAGGGAAGATGCCACCCTGCAACCTCGCAGTCTCGTATGAGCTAATGAGACTGAAACTTATGTCCAAGTAGGCCTAACAATGGACGCAGGAGGGCGAGGATATTGGATGGCGCGCTGGAAAGAAATTCGCTGAGACGAGAGTTTAAATGATCTGGACTCCATAGAATATGTTCGTTGGCTGCGAAAGATGAATGTCAGGGATTGATGCGAGGTTGCACATTTGTAGTGGTTGCAGTAGTAGGTTTGTGGGTCACTTATGAGCGGTAATGCACGTACGACACACGACAGCAGGCACGAGTAGTTCAGTACCAAGTGACTGGAAGGAACATAAATGTCATTTTTCGTATGGCGCTCAAGCGTCTGCACGTGCGGCACATCCGACTAAATCACAGGTATTATGCGCATCTGGACGCCGTCACATATATTGCTCAAAGGCTGTCGCAGCTGACTTCCAGTTGGCTAGAACCGTCCTTCAAACAAAGCCAAAGTTCTGCAGCCTGGTGCGCACATTAAGTGATACGCACAGAAAGAGAAAATCATACTGTCAGAGTTCGATCGAGTAAATGGGGTACAAAGATGAACGCTGACTTTTAACGCGTTTGCATACACCGTCGCCATCGTGTGTGTGCCCACTTCCTATATGCTCTGAGTCAGAAGATAATCGCACGATTACTTACAATATAAGACGTACCACCGGGATGATCCCTGCATCCGCGACTCGGATGTTTTCTGTCCCATATACCTGAAAGAGTCGTCAGTAGTGGCATCCCTGTCAGAGAAAGGTACACATGCTTTAAGTTGTGAATCGACGACACCCCCTTGATCGGCGGGAAGCATAGAAGTCGAACCTGTACATTATCATAAGCACGATTCTATCAGAGTTGTTACTAGTAGATTGGAGACATGAGCGTACCACATGGGTGCCACACACTGAAAACGGAGGACCGGACAAATTGTGCCAGGTCATCATCAGTGGAGTTAGTTAATGGTCGCAACACAGTATCAATATAGTCGGATAGCGGAGACGTCTGAGCGAGTTTATCCACAACGAAGCTGGCGCCTGCCGCCATCATCGCTACGTCTGAAGCATATTGATTGTTGACTTAGCATTTGCCTCACGAATAATTAGGCAGAAAGTCATCACCGAAAGCGTCGAATCCAAGGTAATTGACGTCGATCTCGGGAAGCTCCGATGCGTTGGAAGAGCTGATATGGACGCGACCTCGGGAGAATGGGCGTATGCTATTGAAAGAAATGGTGAGGTATTCCTTGCTCGGATCAGTTGTTAGGGTTGCGTCATTCAGTCCTGACCGCGTAGAAGTAAAAGTGTTAGCAGAGATGGGTCGTATCTCCAACGTCACGTACCAGGAAGCATGACGAGCCTAAAAGAACAATGAGTACGGAAGGAGGAAAATATAACGAAGGCCCTGTATCGTACTCAAAGTCTGGCACAGAAGGATCCACAAAAAGATCTCTTTGGGCAGCTAGCTGCTTTTCGAAAGCTGTTCCTGCGAAACCGCCAAGGTATGAATCAAGAGAGTCAAGCAGCTGTTGTAAAGTCTCGGCGTCGACGATGTCCTGCAGAGCAAAAAATGCGAGAGTCGTAGATGGTACCTGCGAAGAGTGTTTATTCTCGACTGACTGCTCAGCATAGGAGCTGTGGGGATTTAACGCACCGATGCGAGTACACCTGGTAAATAAATGAGTGAGTTGTCCTAGAATACGTGTCTAGAAAAGGCGGACGAACCTGAGCGGTTTGTGGTGTACAGATCCTCTTGAAGGGCAGCGAACGTGGTATTTCTGCTGAGGTCCTCGTATGTTTGACCAGTACCAGACTTTAACTCGAAAGAAGTCTGAGAAAGGAGACACATATGTGTTACCAATAACATGCAAGCGTATCTAGTACTTGGATACCTACCAGTACACCGTAATGATCCTGATACCAGAGGAGATTCTTAGTAAACCTCAGCTTTCATCTAGCAGAGCTGAAAGAATACCTGTAAGTTTTCCCCTACAGTGTCGAGGTCAAGACGAGCTGTGATCCCGTACTGCTCCAAAATTGTTGCATTCCCAATCCCTGTCGCGAATGAGGGCCTACGATGCGACATATACAGCGGAAGAAATTTACACACCTGACAACTCTAGTATCTTTGGGGATTGATATGTGCCTGGACATACAAGTGAGGCCCATGGCATCGACAAATGTTTATCTCACATATATCGGTGTAACGTACCCGCTGAGACAATAACCTCGCCGCCTGAAGAGAGTCCAATAGTGTCCGTGGCCCCATTGGAGTCGATGTACTCTACACCGGTGGCCACAACGCTGCCATTTGATGAGAGTTCTTCGTCGAGAACAATCTTTGTGACTTCTGCGCCTGTTAAGAGGACCAGATTTGATCTTCCAAGAGCGGGCCTAAAAATCTCGTCTCCTGCGTAAGATCGGGAACGATTATCTGGTTTGATGCTGCATGGTGCTTGCCAGGACCCGAGGGTATTTCCGGATGCCTAAGTGGCGGAGGCCAATAGAGTTACCATGCGGAAGAAAATAAAAACCTCTCGAAGAACACGTACCGCTTGATCGTTGATAGGAATTCCCAGGCTCGAGAGAGCTGGAGCCCAAGCAGAATTTACCTCAGTAGGTGCCCAATAATTCGAGAACGAAACATTGATAGGTCCGGAGGAACCGTGCTCAGACACATCTATAGCACCGAAATTCGTCGCGTCTTCAGAGGGAGCAGGGGTAAAAGTCTCCATCAAATTTGCGTATGAGTGAACGGTGGACCAGTTCCACCCCGTATTACCCAAATCCTCCCAGACTGTATATATCTTCAGTGGACAATCAACAAAATGAAGAGATGTTTAGGACAAACCGTTGTACTCTTTTTCTGAGGCCCTGGACAAAAATTGTGTCATCTCATGTATCTTCGGCATGGAATGCACACGACAACTTACAGGACATAGTACATTCCATTCACAGCAGATGTGCCACCCACTGCTTTGCCTCGAGGAAGCGACATAGTTCGGTTCAATGCATGTCCCTGCGGCGTGGACGTGAATCCCCAGTCAACGATCGGGTCCCCAATGAAGTTCTCGAAGAGAGCTATGCGTAAAAGGACGGTCAATCAGGGGGTTCCATAACAGCTAGCAGATATAGATAAATTTAACCTGGGATTTCAACGGTATCGCTGTCAGCCCATTGACCTGCTTCGAGGACAGCAACAGATATGTTGGGATTCGACGAAACCCTGCAGCAAATTCTCTCGGAGTCAGTCTGTGACTTGGGGGTGTACAAATTAGTTCACACCTTTCTGCTATGACTAAACCTGCCGTACCACCTCCTGTAGGACCCGACTCAGTCGATGAGAAAGCAGAAAAGAAAAAAAAAGAGAACACGACTTGCCGACAATAATGAGGTCATAGGTCGTGGTATCCAAGCACGTAGACAGCATTGGGCTGAGAAGGCAGATCAGTGCCACTAACTTTGATTTGCGCCGAAGCGCATCAGAGAGGTTCGAAAGCGCGAGAAGCATGACGAGGTGGGAACCGATGGATTTCTCGAAGGAATACAACCTCTTTTTGCATCATTGAAGAGCATTATTGCCTGCGGCCGCGCAAGGATTCTGAATATAACAATGCAGCAGCGGCGGATGGCGGATCACATCGCGGATATCGTCCCAGTTGATGACTCCCCAGCGTAGGCGTTAAGACGTTGCGTACACTGGCAGATGTACACCATGGAATGCGCTGCCGAGGTTAGGCTGATGGTAAACTATCGGGCGACCTCGTCCATGACAGTTGTGTCCGGAACGGTCGACCATCTCTTTGATCCCGAACTTATCCTCGCGTTTTGCCGTCTGATCCGGGGTCCACGGATCGTTGAGCGTTGCCTCAATATCGCATGACAGTCTGAATGGGCCACCTACTAATAATATCTATCGGGACTTGTGCTCCGCACCAGCGTAAGGTATTTCGACAAAATGCCACAGGAAGTCGCCCAGTGTAAGAGTGACGCGTATATATACCCTATGTTATGTAAAGCCGATGGGATTCAAGTACTTAACTTAGATCCACCCAAGGCTTGTGCCAGGTAGTCGCAAGGGGGAATTTTGGGATGAAAACATGTGAAAAAAAAGTGTAGTACATAGATCAGAGCTCGCAGGCACACATGATATATCAAACATGTATGTGGGCAAATGTTTCACTGACGTGGAGAATGATGTGACGGCATAATGTGCGACTGAAAGCCTTGGAATCAACTTAGAGCCTCTTAGAGCCTGGATATCAGGAGAATGGACACAGCACGGACCTTATAGCTGCGCTGTTACGCTGAACCGGCGTCAAATGAGCCCAGACGAACCTGCGACCTGCTATTGAGGATGGAGGCTTTGAGGCAGACGAATAACACCATCTCACCACGAAATCACGCTACTGAATGTTGCCTCGAAACTCGGAAGGACCTTAAGTTTGCACCGCGTAGACGTAGAAAGAAGAGACTCACGACAACGTCGGATTCCATGTGGCCACTAGCGTCAATATTATTCCATGCTGATAGAATGTGACAACTGGCTTTAGATTGGGCGCAGCATGTAGTGCTTCGACCAAGGACAAGTACGAAGGCACATGCAAAAAAGAACCCTAATTATTACTGAAAATATACATCTGATCATACGCGACATATCATGCGACCTGTCCGATAAAGCAGCATATGAAGGAACGGAAAAGTTCTGCGACCATAGGCCACAGTAAATAAATATAACCAAATGTGGGAGAATAAATGAGTGGTGAGAGGAAGCGGATGGGATGACACGAGCCGGACTAGATCGGAGTCATGCTGCTCTAGCTGTTCGCCGCTTTGATGATGTCGGCGCCCTTCTCGGCACTGTGGTAAAGGTAGGATCAGTCTCCATTTGGAAGATAAACAGAGCATAGAACGGAAACATACATCGCATATGCAAGCCCTTGCGGGTGACCGGAGAACTGTTGAGGCATGATCGATAAATCCACCACCCTGACATTGGTGGTTCCATACACCTTCAAGTTCTGTGATGGTTATGTTCAGCGCCGGTGTCTCAAGGCCAATTTGAGGAAAGAACGCACCGAATCGACAACACCTCCGTCACTCTGGGGAAGCATAGAGCACGTTCCAGTAGTGTGCCCTTGTGACTGAAACGTCGACTTCACCCACGAGTTCCACTCGTCAGTAGAGTTTACCGCAGATGCCGGGTATGTCTCTTCTTCAAGCACAGCGCTCCATGCTTCGGTCTTGGAGAGTGTTGAGCGAACATACTGCGCCACGCCGGACAAGACGTCCAAGTCTATGTAAGCATTATATATTAGAAACTCATTAGCGAAGTCGAATGAGAATACGACAAGACTTACCGAAGTCGAACTAAAGAAATGGTCGTTAGATCACACACAACAGGTTGAAGTACACATGATGAACGCACGTCAAAGTAATTAGGATTGATGGTCGGATAGTCGAAGGCACTCGCGGAGGAAGCGTGCTAGTATGATTTCGGGAATTCAGTATGGACATTAAAGGGAATCAAGCACATATCCATACTCACAGTTGACCCGCGGGAGAATGGCTGCTGCATCAGTGTGAGGAAAGTGACGTATGAACTGGTGCCATCGGTAGCCTCCGTAGTTTCATGCGCTCCCTCAAGTAAAATCCTATGCATTTATAGGTTAGAATCATGGACTATTTCACAGCGGTTACCACTCACTCTACGACCGTAGAGGTGTTGCTGGTCACGAAAGCCAATTGATTCTGCTGCTGGTCTGTCGAACCATTGGACGAGAGCTTCGATTCGAGGTTTGAGATGAGATCGTCGTAGGACGGTATGAATTTGTGCAAGTTCAGGAACGTCATTCCCGTGGCAATGTAACCATTGGCACCAGATGCGGGAGACTCGGCACTGGAAGTTGATAAGCCCAAGTGAAGACCATTAGGGAAGACGTTGCATACTAAAGTTGGTCCTGTTCGGCCGCGAATGTCGCGTTAAGGGTGAGTTCGTCCACCGACTCGATGCCGGCCTTGAGTTCTACGGTTTCAGGTTAGCACAGCAGAGGGATCCATCCGAGATGAATGCTACTGACTGTACGACTGTGGAGGGAGAAAAAAGCAGGTAACGAGTCATCAGAACACAGACTTCATAACGCTGATATCTGGTTACTCACCACCATGACGTATATGTGATCTTGCATGTTTTCGCCAACGGTTGGAAGGTCGACGACTGGCTCAATCCCAAGACCGCTTAGCAAGTCTGGTGACCCAACTCCACTGAGCTCCAACAGCCAAGGGCTACCGATACTACCCGCGGAAAGGATGACCTCTTTGGAAGCATTAACGGTGTAATTGGTGCCGTTCGAATAAAAGGATACGCCGCTAGCGGTTGCATTCGACGTTTGGTTCGATGAATTCCAAAGGATCGACGTGGCGTGAGCGGCGGCGAAAACAAATAGATTGCAGCGACCACTGTTGGGAGTATAGTAGCTCTGCAGGCCCGCATTATGAGTCTGGGGCGAAGACAAAGAAACATGAAGAACGTACATTAGCAGAGTATGCCCTGGTCCGTGAAATGGGATCCATGCTCGCAGGGGTTCTCCAAATGCCGGATGTGACACCGTCCATCTACAGAGGCAGAACATATCGTCTCATGTGTGGAACGAGCTCGGTTCAAGTTCACTCACTGGATTCCTGACGAGGTCCAATCCTAGTTCCAACCCGGCCGGTTCTACGGCCCTTTCACATTCCGGGAGGTAGTTAATAAAGGTGGCGTTGATCGGCCCCGCCTGTCCCAGTTGAGAACTATCGTAGGTCAAGTTCCACTCAGCGGCGAATGCCGGATCGGGTGGAGTGAAGCTGATATGAAGGCCGTCAATCATCCGGTCAGATGGAACAAAATGTCATTGAAGGTAGCTCACGTTTCGGCCTTCTGATAGTATGGCTCCAACCCGTCCCAATCCCACCCCAAATTTCCGAGTGCCGCCACCACTGCAGCAAACATCAGTGTGGTGTAATGTTTTTGTAGAGCAGCAGCGAGCTTACTGTCGTACTCTTCCTTGGCAGAACGATCCCAAATCAAAGCATTGATAGCAGAGCACCCGCCTAGAGCCTTGCCCCTGAAAATGCAGCGAACAAGGATGAATTGGGTCCAACAGCAGAAAGTAAGTGTGCGCATACCGAGACATGTTGATCACTGTACCGTTAGCATGTTCCTGCGGTACGATGGGAAAGCTCTACGAATCGAGATATGAGACGATATACTGTGGGTGTACAACGGAGTGTACTTACCCAGTCGTAAGTTGTGTTTCCGATGATGCCCGAGAGCTGTTGAAACGTATCAGAGGATGCTGGCATGAAAAAGGAGAATTCGAACCTTTGACGGAGTCAGGATCTCAGGATCGTCTAGGTGGGCATCCCCAGCTTCCAGCACCAACACAGTTGAATTAGAATCTTCGGAAAGACGCGCCGCTACCACGAGCCCCGCGGTTCCTCCACCTAAGAATTCATGCATGAGAAACAACACCTCGGGGGAAACGACGAAGAGTCTTACCGACGATAATGTAATCGAATGTCTGGTTTTGAACGTCTGAAACAGTGGTCGAGGATGAACAGCCTAGGTCAGCAACCACAAGGCTTCCGCATAGCAGCGCAGAAAGGGCTACTCGGGCCACGAAGGAGGACATTATGGACGAGGGAGTAAGATTGTGCAAATTTAGCGAAAAGATCCGGCTGGTGGCCTTTTATCTCTCAAGAACAATCAACTGGAGGATTCATGCTGTGCGCAGTGGAAATCGGGCCCTCTTGCATTGCCCGACACTTTCGTAATTGATGCGCTCGTTCGCGATCCGGACATGGTGAGCGGTCAGGAGCCATCATATCGGTAGTCTCATGCTCCTACCTAACTCTCTAGGGGTGAGAATTATGTATGGTGCGGAAGCCTTGGGGATAACCGGACTGAGGGTGATCTGAGGCACATACAAGCTTGGGATAGTGAGTGAGATTGAGACCTAACATGTAACGAGGCCAGAGCGGTTATGTCCGGTTTCATTAGACCATGGTAGCTCAAGGACAACGACAGGGAGGCAAGGTTCGGGACATTTCGATGAGATCTCACTCACCACATGGATCAATGCTGGCCTACAGGTTATGAGCCTCGGAGTTGTGATAACATACCCAAGCCATCATGCATCAGTAGGGTCAGAACCAAGTCGGGTGATATCAGCCGTGACTAGAACTTCAAATGGTGCTCCTATTATGTCCGAATCTGCACATAACAAATGGCGGCAAAAAAACCTTGGAAGAGCTGCAGACTGCTTGCACTGGGGCCCGGTACAATTTTCGATTCATGGTTTACGGGCTTGCGCAAAACGTGTGTCGGCCTCCCGAACGCAGTAACTTGAGCAAGTGCCGAGAACCCAGATAGGCTATATCAAAGGAGAGAAAGGACGACGATGTGTAAGATGACGGTCAAGTCTACGTTGAGTCTACCGAAAGGGTTCCTCCCAATTCTGCGAGGAAACGCGACGCGTCCTGGGAAACTGACGTCATGATTGTTGTCGTACCGCGCCAGACTTGAACGGTTGAGTATATACCTTCCTTTCTTCTTTCCTTCCCTCCTTATGTGCTTTTCTCTGCGCCTGCAGACTACATTGTTTTTGTTCATTTTTCTTTGTCTTCATGCGTACACGAAGCATAACCGTCGGCGTTGCGTTGTTTTGGACAAGCATGATACAGCTGCGATCGCCACAGTACTACTCAAGTATTTTTGCCGTGCCCGTAACTTTTCGGTTCTGAATCACCTTGATCAGGGTGCTAAGGTTGTCCTTGGCTTTCTGTATTGTGGTTGTGGGAGGACGCTGTACAGGGCCAGGCGCTGAGCCTCGAGCCTTGCCTTTTTGGAGCTTCGTGCGGCCGTGGTAGGATACCTGCATCAGTGTCCGCTGGACCATCTCGGATACAGTACGGCGCAGTACTCCTGTGCACTCACGTTTGAGCCGACAAGCGAGCGTCCATCTGCGTCCATCTGCGATCAGTCAGCATGTAGGTTCCACGATGATCAGGATGGTAGAGATCGTATCTTCGCCTCTCTTAAAGAGGTGCCGACGCAGCTAACGAGCGACTGTATTCTTCCTCTTCTCAACTCTTTTCTATAGCCCCATCATACCAATGTCTTCCAGGGAAATCAGGAGCCCAGTAAGAAATTTAACTTGTATGATATTCAGTTTTGGAGCTGAATAGCCGATTTATCACAGGAACTCGATCTTAGTACGATCCCAGACCTATCAGGCAAGGTCGCGATCGTCACTGGGGCATAGTATGTTTCATTTTTACCATCCTTTGACTTTCGTAGCATTGAACACGAAATTTCTATTCACTTCCAGCGACCCAAACTCCATCGGCTACAATGTCGTTGAACAACTTGCACTCAAAGGGGCCAAAGTCTTTATCGGCGCCCGTAGTCTCGAGAAGGCCGGAGGGGCCGTATCCGCACTACAGAAGGCCCACCCTTCGATTCCAGCAGAGAACCTACAGCCTTTAGTCACGGACCTCAACGATCTGAAGCAGGTTCAGTCTGTAGCTCAGTCCTTCGCCAAGGAACAACCAAGGCTCGATATTGTGGTCAACAATGCCGGACTGTACGTCGTATTCTCTCCCTGAAAATATCCTCTGGAACGAGAAAGCTGACTGGGAGGCGCACGAAAGGTTGGCGCGCCCTCTGGATAAGAATGAACACGGGATTTCTGTCTCCTTCAACACGAAGTACGTTCATTCGTTTTAGGAATGTGTTGGTACTGATTGCCTTCTTCATTCGCATCTTTAGCCATTTGGGACCCTTCCTCTTTACCCTCGAATTACTTCCCCTTTTGAAGAAGACCGCAGCATCAAACCCTGGTGTGCGGATCGTCAACGTAGGCGCTCAGTCATTTGCTACCATTCGAGTGGGATATTGACATCGAACGTTCCACGTCTTGAATGGCAGCTTTCGTCGACTACCCACGTCCTCGTGCCGAGTGGATTCAAGTTCGACACGGTTGAATCATTCAACGCCGAACTCGGAGGAACTGAAGATTTCAACTCCAACCTCGCCCGATACGGTTCGTCTTCATCCGCATCAATACCTCTGCTTGTTCTGTACTGACGGTCACACCACTCTTGTACACCAAACTCCTCATTGTTCTTCATATCAGGTCTGTCGAAGCTAGCAAACATCCTGTTCACCAAGGAACTTCAAAAGCGATTCGACGCCGAGGGTGTTCCGGCTGTGGCCATCTCTCTCCACCCCGGTGGTGTGAGGACCCGTACGTCTCTTCATTCTACGACTTTACATCTAATAGTATGCTGACACCATGTTACGTCCCAATCATTTCTATTCGCCCCTCGACATACAGCCGGCTCTATCAATTTCGTCGGGCCTGCCAATCTAGCCATGCTCGACGGTGCCATGACTCCCCTGCAAGGTGCCTTGACGCCTATCTTCGCCGCCGCGAGCCCCGAAGTCTGGGTGAAAAAGAGCGAATACGGTGGCAAGCATCTGATGCCGTACGGTGTCGTTTCGGAGGACGTACTCAGCGAGAACGCGAAGGATGAGGCTTTGGCTAGTACTCTATGGGCGACGAGCGAGAAAGCGATTGCGGACGTTTTGGCGAAGTGATACGCATACGAGTGCAGGTCTCCACATTCGAGGGAGTAGGGAGTAGTCGAATGATCATGTATCATTTAGTATGTTATAACATAAATGCAGCTACCATGGGGATCGGTCTAGTTATCACTGAAAAAGAGTTTGTAGTAGAATGCGTTGGAATGAAGTGGCTCTTATGATTATAGGGTAGCGCTAACAGACTGCGTCGAACTGATGAGGCGTTCGTAACGTCGTATCTGCTGGTCGACAATTCTTGGATTGAAGGTTCAAATTTCAAAAAGAAAGAGTTCTTCAGATAACAACATTGCATTCAAATAGGCACATGCCTCACGTGCACGGCTTCAAGAAGACAACCATCTCTTCTCGCGGGCGGCGGAAGTCCAAGGCTTCAACTGCATCCTCTAAGCTCTTGCCTCCTCCCACCACTCGCGCCCACCCTTCATCTCCGCAAGCAATATCTTGCTCGGATGCGACATGCACATACATGCTAGCAGAAAATGGAACTCCGGTAAGCTCTTCCGGAACGAGCGTGCTATCGATGTCTCTTGCATGGATATCTAAGTTCTTCCTAGTCGAGAGGATCGTCGCCCTTTGCGCGAGTGTACGGAACCGTCCACAGCACCCGAATGGTAGATCATTGGGTGATTCGCTTCAGTTCATCACACGTGGGCTCAGGTCGTGGACCTAAACAGGACCAGGGCCGGACCAATCACTGGCAAAGGATCCTGTCTACAGCTGCGTATGCGATATCTACCTGACAATTTCCCAGATGGTCCTCAGAGGGTCCGGGTCGTGTTCTGTCGTTGAAGAACGACCTGTATTTGCTCAGCACGCTGTTAATCCCACAAGCAGTTTGAACGATAAATATAGAACTTCCGAGTCAGTGCCGCTCTGGTTTGTGGGCACGGTCATGATCAATGCCAACCAAATGGCAACTAGCGCACTTGGATTTAGATGCATCCAATGATCGCAGACGCGCTATATGGCTCGAGGATCTAAGACTGATACAAAACAAGTGTATGAACAGCGTCGAAGGTCGAAGCAGGAGAAAGGACTCAGAGAAGTCCAGCAAAAAGCGCGATATTCATTTTAGCTGACCCCCAGAACACGATCACGTGAGCGGAGGTAACGAAATGAGTTGTTGGTGCCCGTGCCGAAATATTTGCCAGGTGTTTGGCCAACAGCTTACGCTGGGGTACAAAACGCGGACGTCCTACGTTTCATTCCGCCCCACGATCACGACCTCCTCCGACGTTCGACCTCGTTCCGTTTGTCTGTCTCTCGGATTCGAAGGTCTGACGCTCTAACGCGCCTACCTACGCCACACCGACGCTCTCTACACAAAAAAAGAAATACCATATGATCACTCCTCTCATCCCCACGCTTGCTCTCTCCCTACTCTCTCTTTTCTGCTCCGCTTTTGTTGTTCTTCGCATTGTGATCCCTATCCTTCCTCCTCATCCTTTCAGCAGACGGGTTTCGCCAGTGAGTTCAATCATTTATCAACTGCATAGTCACGTATTTCGTCTGACGAATTGCAGTCGGAGTTCGGTCTTCCCAACTTCCGCCCTCTCTCTGCCGCAGACAAGAGTCATGTTTGGCTCGCGCTATGCGACATGGCTGCTTTGACCGTCTTCGTCTGGGAAGCCATCGCAGAGAAAGTGGGTGGACCGTCCGACTTCGACATCGCCTCCGACCCTCTCGCATCAGCCCGACTCTGGTTCGCCATGACCCTTCATCCAACTTGTCTCCTCGTCGTATCTGCCAACACCCTTCTCCATGTTCGGATGGCCCTTCCCGTTTCATTCGGTAGAAAACACTGGATGTTATGGGGCCCTTTGGTTATCCTCGTCATCACTTCAACCTCAATCGCTGCCGTACTGGCTGGCTCCGGTGTGACCACCCTCTTCGTCGGTTACGTCGCGTACTCCTCTACCATCGCTGGTCTAAGCACCACTGCTTTCCTCTCTCTCGTTGCCACCCTGCTGTTCATCAAGCGCAACTTGAGCGTCACCGTAGAGGACAACTCGTGGCCACCGGTCAAGAACGGCGAACAGGAAAAGGCGCCCCGTAGATCATTCGCCACTGAGGACGTCGACAGGATTAGGGAGGGCGCGTCTTGGCTTACCTCTCACCCAAGCGATTATCACGAGTCTCTTTCTGCATTTTCTTTCTCTTCGCACCACAGTCACGTCCAACATCCCGCCCTGGCCTCTCAACCTTCCATCCCGGCCAAGTCGTCGTACTGGTTCAACCCTGGCACTCCCGTAAACGGCGTCGCCCGCCAGGAATCCATTCCTCCTGTTCCTCCGCTCCCACCTTCTTATAAGACCAACGCTTCGCCAACATCCCCAGACTTCGGTATAGATGCCGATCCTTTTTACCGGGCAGAATCTCCTCATGCTGCTCGAGCTCGTATCGGCTCTCAAAGTTCATGGTTATCTTCGAGTTCCGGGACTCGTGAGACGCTCTCTGCTTGGTCTTACCCCACCACGCACCATACGCACCACGACTCGCACATGATGGCTGCCGTTGCGTCCACTCAAGATCTTAATCAAGAACTATTACACACTCGCCCTAATACTCCGGCGCTGTCGGGTGCTCAAGTCCTTGGCGGATACGGATATTCTCCCTCCAATGCTGATCAGGAAAAGGGTCTCTCGTCTTTCTCAGACGTTGTCCCCACCGATGTCAACATCTCCATCGGACGTATCGTTGGTTGGCTTGCCATCATCTTGGTTCCATGGGTAGGTTTCTTCTTCAACTCTCAAGTTCAACAGCTATTCACTCTATGTTTATAGGCACTTTCCCTCCCTTTCTTCCTCGCTGCCTCTCCCGCCCACCCGATGACCAGCCAGGCCTTTCCTCTTCTCTTGGCCATCAGCGTTACGAGCTCGTCACCCATCCTTGCTCTCAACATCCTCCTTCGCTCTCCTATCCCGATCCCCACCACCCTGTTCCCAACTCGTCGGAAACAACCTCCTTCCATCATTGGTCGCTCCCCGTCTCCTCTCAGTACTCTTCGCACGCCAGCTACATCTTCGACTGACTTAAAACGCAGCATCAGCGCCACTATCGTTGAAGGTCGTCGTAGCACCGATGTCTGGATTGACAAAGGCGAAGCCGTCGCGGGCAGAGGTCGTATTGGACGCGCCATGGGCATGCTGGTCCCCACTCCTAAACTCGCAGTCCTACCTCCCGATGGCTCCCAGTACCAGAACTCAAGCCCCATAACGCCCCCTCTTCCGATTCAGGACCCGGCGAGAGCGGGAAATCTATTACCTACTCCTCAGAGTTCCTGTAGTGCAGAGGTGGGAAGGAAGTACGGAAGGGCGAGGAAGGAATCGAGGCATTCGTCACATCTGTCCTCGGATATGTCGCACATGAAGATTATGGTCGCTCAAAGACACTGCTCCGCCGTCGCCACCACCATTCTTGTTCCTCCTTTGCCTGGGAAGGCCCCTTCGGCCGCCGGAGTCTCGACTGGTGTTTCATCTACTCCTAAAGGTCGCATTAATCATCACCTTCGCAGTCGCTCTGCTTCCTCGGTGGAGAGACCTCGGTTCCCTATGACACCTCCCCCATCTTCGCCCCTTCCTCCTACTCCTCCCAGCAAGGTTAAGCCTGGAGCTGCAGGTACCATAATCGAGAACGACATGTCCGAGTTCAGCTTTGGGCCCGTTTGTAACGATGATTTGAAGGAGATCGACGCGCTTTCCGCCGGCCTACTGCCACTACTCGTCCCTGGTCTCAAACTGGGTCCGGATATGAGGGTGAAAGATACAGAGTGGTCTTCGTCTCCTGGAACATGGAGCAAGAGCGCTGCGGCGAAGAACGCCGCGAGGATGAGCAAGAATAAGCTCAGTTCGAAGGAAGACGAGGAGTTTGGATTCGCCAGTGGGGCGGACTTTTCGTCGCCACAGTTCCATTCCACGCCGACGAGCAAGGCTGGTGCAAGATCCCGGAAGAGTTCAGGCCATAAGAAGGGAAATTTCAGTTTGCCGAGGTTCGTTCTTTCGTTCTGTATTGGTGGTTTCCTCTTCCGAATTATTAACGTAATACGTGAACTTGTTTAGCTTGTCACTTGGGAAGGATGGCTTCCATTCTCTTTCTTTCTGGAGGAACGATACGAACGACGCTCTGGAGTTGAGGGCGCACGAGGCTCTTTTCTCTCAACGCAAGGCCAACGTCCCTCACACGTTCAAGACTACGGGAAATAGGCCTCATACTGTCATTGGTGAACTCGACATCACTCCTGAAGCCTCTCCCGAACCCGTTCACCCCCAAAACACGTACGAGCCCCGCGTCGCCAAGGACCAGTATCTCAATCCCGCCGGCACCCTCGCACCATCCGATAAACGCTCCAGCGTCCAGTCCAATCCTCGTTCCTCCATCTTGACGTTGATCGCTGCGCTCGAGCAGCCGTATGGTCCTGTTTCGTCTGCCGCCTCCGATGCTACATTATTCGATTTCGATGGGGAGGATGGGCCACTAGCGGAGAGTACGCCACCTCAGCACAAGCGCAAAAGCACCGCTTCGTCGCAAATGTCGAAGAGCGCGAAGGCTAGTCGTCGTTCGGGCATCATATACATCAAGTCCAACGGAGACGACGCTTACTCCCCTTCCAACGCCGACCCTAATGCCAGTATCCTCGCCCCTCAAGATGAAGCCCCCGCATCTTCTGAAAGATCACCTTACTGGTCCACGCGGACTGTACGACCGCTCGTGCTCAAGTCTGGCAAGAAGTCCTCGATCTCAACTAAGACCGCGACCAATTCCACTACCCTCTCGTCTCTAGGTTCTCCATTGCCCGGCTCTGATTCTCACGCGGATTCCCACGTCAAGGGGGGCCTCCGCCCACTGTCGCTCTTGCAAGACCGCAACAAGAGTAGCGCAGACCGGACCGCCCCAATCCCCGCCGACATTACCACAGGAGCGAAGGTTGACACTCGTTCGTCTGCTCTCGGGAAGAGTAAACGGCAGTCTCATTCGAAGAAGGGCCGAGTGACAGAGGAGGTGGAAAGTAGGGCTTCGAAGGGAAAGAAAGATGAAAACAGTGATGTCAGCGGGAGCTTAGCGAGGGATGGGTCCTCGTCGAAGAAGGGCCACCGGAAGCTGCGTTCGCTGAAGCTGATGAGGTCGGATACAACGAAGGAAAGAGAAAAGCTGAGAGAGAGGGAGATATTGCCGGATGTGGTTGTGAGGCCTCCCAGTACGTTCATACAGCCTGAGTGGGCAAAGGGGTGGTAGGTGAGTCACTATAAAATGGTCTGGTGGTGAGTGTGGTTCATGCGGACTGGACTCTGCGATTTTGTTCATGACTCTTCTCTGCATTTGTGTTTATATACTCAGCTTTCGTCTCACGACCCTCACGGACTTTCATTGCTTATATCATCGCTTTCTCTTGTCACGACACGCTTCCATCGCTTTGATAGCCCGCTCAGCTTTCGTTGTCGATATGTCCTTTTTGCTCCACACTATCTTCCCTACCTGTAGCATACTTAGTTCGTCAATATTCCATTTTTCTTAGACTTTCCTTGTCAATATCCGAACCGGTCTCACCACTTGTAGCATAATTGCACGCGTTCCCATTTGGTCCTTGCATTGTTCGATTTCTGCTTATATCTTGACGTCTTCGCTTTCACTTTGTTTTGATTTTTTCTCCTCATCATGACCCCTGCTATCACACGTTCGTATGTCGCTTTCATGCCTTGTCGCCACGCTCTACTACACGCACATGATGTTCATTCCTCTTGGTCTCATGCATTCCCACGATTTCCGGCTCTTTCAATATCACTGCTTGTCCTTTGCGTTCGCCGTACGACTCGGCAATCCTACACATTCGTCCTTAACTTGCACCATTGGTCAATTTGATGGACTTCATTGGCCTCCAATTGTGCGGGGGTTGCGATGTTCGAGTAGGCATGCGACCTAAACTTGCAAGTCGCAGCGAGACGCTTTCGGAACTTGGATGCAAGACAGATGGACATATAATTCGAAAGAGTGAAGCGAGCACCATACGTCTAGTATATCCATGATATCATGTCAAGTACTAGTGGCATACATGGGTGGCATCGCAGGCGGGTCTTTTGTCTGACAAGGCCTGTCACTCGCTACGCACTTCCGGGTTGAAAACCTCGTCGGACAGAGCCAACAGAAGCATATTGATGACTTGGATGGACGGATATGTGAAAGTGAAATGATACAGTAATGTATGCGAAACACTCACGCTGTTCGGCGGCAACGGATTGTCCTTTGTACCACTCCACATTGTCTTCCTCGGCCATATCATCCTCGTAGGCGTATGTCTCCTCCTCTGCTCTCTTCACGATATGTGTGAGTTCGGAAATAGCTAATACAGTATCAAGTCAGATGTCACTTCATGAACTTATACGAAGCGCTCAAACGTACTAGGGTCATTATGTTCCAGCATATTCGCAGCTTCCCAAATTTTGAATTGCGCTCGAACCTCTCTCGTAATCCTCTAGAGAAACTAGATCGTTCAACCGTATGGCAATGTGAACAATCGTGAGGTTCTTCACCTCAGTGGTGTGAAACAACTGCACTGCTTGCGTCATACTATAAAGTCGGTGGTCGGTACTAAGTTTTCCGTCCTGCGCCAGCAGATGGCCTAAAGATGCACTGAACAAACCTGGAAATATTAGGCGTCTTGTTCGGGACGGTAATGAGCAAGTAGTTTAAGCCACACTCACCGCGTGAGACACTCCTGAATAAATTGGCAGTCGGGTTCAGTGAGACTGTTTTGATGCTGCCTCAAGAATGCTTCGAAATGAATGAAGACTGGGCCATCTTCGGGATAATGTGGCCCGAAAGACAACTGGATCCATCTAGCTCTGAGCATAAGTGGTTTGCTGACTAACGAGAGGGTGATGACTTCGAGGACCGGTCTATTGTTCACTGCAACACGAAGGTGAATGCTGACCAGCAGCAACAAATAATATACCTACCTTCAGATTGTGTGTTCATGGTGGATGTCGTTGATTCTCCGGGCTGCGGATGCGCTGGATAGCTTGCGACTGATCGATTAATGGTAAATGAAAACGATTACAGGGGGGTATCCAAGCACTAACATGATATCTCGTCCAATCGCGAGATCACGGCTTGTTTCAGCGTCATTTCAGAGTCTATTTTGACGGTCATTGACCATGAAACAATGTTCCACTTACGTGCTCCAAGTTGATTAGCTGCTTGAAGAGACATTGCAGTTAAGGCTAAGTATTGTACTGTGGAAAATTGATAACATGCTCTCACTATTTATTTTCGACTGCTCCTCTACAGGCGTTCGAGAAGTCAAAGTCTACAATCAGGCAGACCATCGGCGAATAAGAAATCAAGACAAACGCAATAGAGAGTTCACTCGCCTTCACCATTTGCAAAAGCTGCTCTGTCAGATGGCGATACTTGCGTGCCTCTATGTTGGCATCAGAACCAACCTTCGCGGCTATGGCTCGCTTGGAATCCTGGACGCTAGGGACGTTGTCAAACTCAATGGAAATTGAATGCAGAGAAGGCTGACCTTTTCAGAAGCTCGGCGACCTGCGGTCGGGTTGGGAGATCTAGTGTGGATCTACATCCTGTGGCGCTCGCTAACACTTCTAACATCTCTTTGAAGGACACATCGCCTTTCTGCTTCTGTCCAGCCGTCGTGATGCCTCGCAATAAATGCACGAGCCGCAAACCGCGGAGATTGGTCGAAAAGTCGGCTGAAATGAAGCGATGAATAGCTGGGGACATGACTGGGGGGAGGGGTCGGTGAGGGATCACACTGGTGGCCTGCAAGTAGAAGAACCCACAACCCTGAGAAGGATGTCAGCAATCCGGTGCCATAGCGCAAGAAATGCGTGTACTCACAACGTCATCACTGGGCTCAAATGATAATACAAGGACTTACAGTTTTTTTTCACCAGGTCAGCGGCCCAGATAGTGCGGGAAGATAGACCCCTCCATATGTCTTTGATATAGCCTGATCAAGGGACAAGGGCTCATCGTTCGTGCCGCTTCTAATGCTTCTATATTACGGAGTTCTTCAAGGCTATGCGTAGATTCATTCAACCGTGAAAGCAGACAAGGCTGAGACAAAGTAACATACTGGTGTAATGATGATGATTATTGTCCTCTTATGTGAGACCAAAGCAGCGATTGTTCATCTAGATTAAATCTCAATCGGTTTGCTGACAGCGAAGAGGCTCTCCAATATAGCAAGCGTGTTAAGCTATGACCAGATATTGAAAGACTTCCCAGGATGATTGGTGATCAGCTGCCCGTAGGACTCGATAGGGCTTCCGCCACCTCTTCCTCTGGCCACGACCTGTCCTTCTCAGACCATCTCATCCCCGAGTTCAGGTTTGAGTCCGCTTTGGACAGTGGGCAACGATCAGAGCGAAAGCACCAGTAAAGATTACTGATCTCAAAACGAGATGCTGATGTGGGGTATACCCATAGTACGAAAAAGGAATAAATGAAGGGGCCGTGATATCTTGAGAGATGAGGTGTGGGACCTTGTGGGCGCACGTTTACGGCCCGATAAAATACCCGAATCATTACACGATGTCTCACGAGTAAACACCTATCTCTTTGCTGTTATATTTAGTCACCATATTCTATAAAGCTCGTATATAACTCATAAGGCGGAGAGTAGGAATAAACAAGGAATAAATACCTGATAATGCCTCGTACCCTACCCTTCTACTACCTACTGGTAACGTCCGTTGGGGACCAAAGTTTGATGAATGATGGAAGCATGGAAGAATGCTCGACTCGATCCTTTTTGGCGGATGCTTCGTTTGGCTATAGATTTATACCGGTGAAATAGATTTTCTAAAAGTGTTGCAAGGGAAGTAGGAGCTGTTTGTTGTTCTTGACCATTGATCGGGACGAAACCGGAGCGCAGAGTCTGAAATCGCTCCGGAGTTTGTCAGTTTGATATCAGGGAGCACCGGAATTTCCCGGTTGTAAAATGCTTGTAACTTGTTCAATTTGTGTTCAATACTCTGTCGAGCGTTCACGGTGCAAATACTCGGGCCTTTCTCGCTAGTCGCTGGCCAGCGTTTGCGCACTGGTATTTCTGGCCTCGTAAGCGCGTGCAAAGCCACAATCAACGCCGAGCGCGGAGATCGAAAAACGTGTACTGGTGACTCCCTCCGGGGATTAAATCACTGCCAGTGTCGGGCATCAGGTGGCCCATGTATGGGGAGATTGGGTCGGAAGGCAATCGCAGCAAGAAAGCGTAAGGTCACGTATTGTATCAAACCTTGACGGCTTTTCCTAAGAGGGTACAAAGGGAGCGTCCCCGTTGCTTCCCATACAATCACACCAATGTGAAGCTACAACCAAGTGGGTCGCGGTCATCGGCGCCCCCCATTGCTTGTGTACTTACTAGTGTTTGCAAGGTACGAAGTAAGCTTTGGTCTGGAACGAGTGTAGCAGCCAGACCAGTTCACATGTCGATTACGGAGCAGAAGCGGATCGAGTAGACCGTAGCTAGTTAGTAATAGATAAGTAAGAAGGACAACTGGAGAGCAAAGTAAACAAGAGCAATATGAAAAAGCAATACACAAAAGAAGGGTATGGACGGAAGAGTATTTGGGAGACTTCAACTCGATATGTAGGTAGAAGGGAATAAGAATTCAGGGATTGGGAATGGAGGGTAAACCTGCACAAACGTATCCGATAGTGCGTATGAAATGAGGTATAAGCTTGTACACACTCAGAACGATCTCCTTCCGTTTAATCAATCCCGATCGCAGTTTCCATCCACTCAAAGAGTCCAGGATTTTATGATACTGAGCTACAACTTCGTCAATTTTCGGACGTTTCGACGGATCCGCCTTCGTCATATCGCTGATCAAAGGGTAGATGAATTGGAACCCGAAATAATTCTATGATGTGGTCAATCCGTTCGTCAGACACCCCAGAAATTATACGAGAAGGGATGGGACATACTTGATAGATATGCAGACGGATGAAATTGCCAAGGAAGTATATATCGGTCGCAAAGGGGTCGCAGGGTATATCCTGATTGGGACCATTGTGCTCTGGCGGAGACTTGTCGCCTGCCAGTTGTGGCAGCTCCAGTGGCGGGCCGTCCTCGGGGTTGTAGCGACGAGCGTGGCCATAATCAATCCAGACGTAACGAGGAGGCCGTTGGGTACGAGTGTAGTGTTTGGCGTGGCGTTTATAATCACGGCTACGATTGTTAGCGATAGGGTGGAATGACTCAGGATACATGGCCGTTGGATCCATCATGAGGTTGTTGTATGTACAATCACTGAGATCAGTTAGACAAGCCACTAGGTATAAAAGCGGTATGCTGACATCAGCACTTCTGCACATCACTTAGTGACTTATCCGAGCTTACCGAACCCAGTAAGTCAGATAAGTCAGAGGTGGTGGCCCATCTCCTCTTGATTATTGGGATATGGGATAAATTGGTGTTTATACGCTGGTAGTACAGTTTACGTAGATGGAATACATTCATGAGAGTGATAATCAATAAATTGGTTAAGGTAGAAGGCTTTGAAAGCAGAAAGGGAGTCGGAATGTTGAAATGAGTGGGGTATTCTTGTGTTACCAAAGACCGGGAGTAAATGACAAGCACGAACAAAGCATTCTAAGTGAATCAAACCAACGGAACGTCGACCTCCAACCTTCTCAGGGCGTACAATCCACATCCCAGTCACTTCATCAGGCTCTTCATCGGGTATGAACCAATTAACAAGAGCACAAGGGTAAAGAACATGGTCATGGACAAAAGAGATAAAACGAAGAACACGGCAAACAAACATTCCATCCAAACGATCATCGGGCTGTGTACCAACCTGAACAAGGGCAGTATCACGCCGTTCACGAGCATTATACCAGCGGTCAGTACTCCGAATGTACTCCCGACGCATACCTCCCGGTCCTGAAAGCTCACTAGGA